CTTGTTCTGTCACAGTGCTGCTCACCCATCTCTCTCTTTCCTTCCAGAAACCAGTAAAGACAGCTCTGGCACCAAGCCGGCCAACAAGCGGCCCATGTCCTCTCCAGAAATGTAAGCAGGAAGCCCCTTTCAGGAACCTTCGAGGCTGGGGAGTGGAAATAGCTGGGCTCAGCCTCTCGTCAAATGACTGACTGGGGGCCCGTAACCGGCCCCACACCAGGCCCTGCACTGGCAGGGCCTCCAGTGGTGCGGGGCCCACACTAACTTTCTCTTTCTTTTTTCTGCCTTCCAAGGAAATCTGCTCCAAAGAAATCTAAGGCCGATGGTCAGTGAGAGGAAGCTGACCAGCCCCTGGATTCTTCTCCAGAACCCCCTGCTTCAGGAACACCCGCCAGGGCCCACCCCTCCCGCCCCATCCCGGCATTCGCACTTCACCCTCGCGAGCCGCTGTTCACTCCTCTCCCCTTTCTCTTTCTCTCTGTTTTTAAAATAATCTAAAGAAAGCACATTTTACCATTGCTGTTGGGAGGAAGCAGAGGCAGATGGGAAAGCAGAGAGAGGAGCGCGCTTCCTTTCCTCCCTGCTGCTGCCCACCCTGGGGAGAGACCTTTGCGGGGAGGGAAGGCGGAGCTGAGGACAGCCAGCTCCGCCCTCCCAAGGCTGTGCGTTCCTGAGGGCCAGGTCGGGGGGCGGGCGTGGAGTGAGGAAAGGCACTCCTCTTGGCCCTCCCCAGAGTGGCTTTCCCAGCACCCTGGCCTGGGTGTCTGGTTCTGTTTTCTTTTCTTCCCCTGTGTTTCCAGTCACCTAACTTCCCTTCCTCAGGCTCCCCCGGCCCGTCCTGCTCAGTGACCCCACAGGAAGCTTACACATTTTCTCAGAGGCCTTTGTGTTCCCACCTCTTCTACCCTCCCCCTCTTCTTTCCCGTTTTAAAAAAGAAAAGAAGGAAAAAGAAAAAAGGGGCAAGGAGCCCCGCGGCGGCCTGGGCAGTGCCTGTGCAGACCTCCCTGCAGGCCACACTGCCAACTGCTGCATTTATTGTGTTTTTTAGGTTGAAATTGGTGAAGTTCACACTTTCATTGTAATTTTAGCGTGTGGGGTTTTGTCCCTTTTTTCTTGTTGTTAGCTGTGTACAGAATGTGTAATCTTTTTTCTTTTTTTTTGTTTTTTTGTTTTTTGTTTTGTTTTTGTTTTTTTATTTTTTTTCTTCTTGGCTAATTCTTGGCAGGGATCTTTCTGGAGGAAAAGCTGGGGCCAGCCAGGGCAGGAGAGGTGTGAAATCTGCTACGTGGGGCCTGCTGTTTGCCACCCAGCCCAACTTCCTGTTGCTGGCCCCTGCCCTCTGCCCTTTTGCCTGTCCTCAGGCCGCTGGAACAAAGGAAGGACAGCTCATTCCTCATGGGCGATCACTCCGCATCTATAGGGTTGAGGCCGGGGGAGCTTGAGGGAGGGCTGGGGCCTCCTTGTCCTGGGTTCCCAGCTCTCCCCCTGCCCCCTCCCTGAGCACCACCGGCACCGCCTCCCACACAGGGCTGCTGCTTTCCGCAGGCACTGCTCCACCTCCCCCAAATTGTCATGGAAAGGGTGGAGAATGGAGGGGAACCAGGCGTCCTTGGAGGCAGCCCAGGAGGGCAACTGTAATGTCACCCACAAGGGAGGCTAGGGCAGTGGAGCAGGCCGCCAGCAGCAGCTACCCAGGCCAGCCTCCATGGCTGGGGGATCTGTTTGGAGTTTTCTGCCCCCGACCCTGAACTTCCGTCAAGGAGCAAGGCTTGCCAGCAAGTCAGAAGGATTTAAACTGAGCAGCCAATCTTTCCAGCCCTCCCCCACCGACCTCTGCCTGGAGATGCAGCAGCCTGTGTCCTCCAGGACCTCTGGTTTGTTGTATTATAGTATATTTCGCTGTGGAAAATGTCACGTTTAGTCACCTTGGAGCCCACTCACCTGGTCCTGTTGTTTTACCCCATCCCTTCTCTTGCGCGCCTATTGATTTGTTTCTGAGGAGAGTACACCGTTCACTATTGTAGAGTAACTCCTGTGACTCAATATTACCATAGTGCGATGTCGTTTTGTGCTATTTTGAACAATTAAAAGACTTTTTTTGAAATAACCACTAGGTGTCTCACTGTGTCCCGGCATCCTCACAGGAGGCCTCAGCAGGAAGGCTGAGACCTGCCCTGGGCTCACGGGAGTCCCCTGGAGGGGAACCTGAGCTCTGGAGGGGAACCTGGTGAAAGTGTAGAAGGCCCCAGAGTGAGGCCCCTGCTGTGGCCTGCAGTCTTTGGACTAAGTCGGACCAGGTTCCAGCAGGTTGCTTGGCAGCTCCTTGCAGGGGGCAAGGGCCAAAGGATCCCTTGGGCAGCTGCTGCTGACTTCCTGTGTCTGGGGTCAGATGTCCCTCCCTCCCTCCCCTCCTACACTAGAGGATAGGATGGGGCAAAGGCCTGGCAGGTCACCAGCGGCAGCCTCCTTGGGTGGGTTTGGGGGTAGGTGGGCTGAGTCAAGTACACCATGGGTACTGCAGAGGTGGATCCCTTCCTCTGGCTTCCTGTTACATGTGAGCCATGCCCCCAAGGGGAAGAAGCAGAGCTTATGATCCAGACTGACCACCTAGTGGCTGGGTCGGTGGGACAGCTGGGATCCTGTGGGCTGAATTTGTACCAGGAGGCCCAGAAAGCCCCGGGGCAAGGCGGCCGGAGCAGCATAGGCCTAGACGAGTCCAAGGGGAGTGACATCCCGCTTCTGGGGCCTGGTGCTCCTGGTGCACCTGTATTCCCTGCCCCCTCAAAGCCCCCCGCCTCCTGCCTTTGTTTCCCCCACACACCTCTACTGCCCAGTCTTCTTCAGAGCACCCAGGCACTCTGCTACCAGAAGCTCCCGGAGTAACAAAAGCCTCCGTGTCTCCACCTGTGGCATGGGTGTGTGTGCAAGGCCCTGTTGAATGCCACCTCTTCTGGGAAGCCTCTGTCATGTGGGGTGTGCTGTGTCATGTGGGGGCGGGGAAAGCAGACTGGCCAGGGCTTGACACCGGGAGCCGTGGCTCTGTCTTACCCACTGCAGCAACTGTGACCTGCCTTGGAGCCTAGCCTTGCAGAGGCCTAAGGAGAGGGGTGGGAAAGTGTCCTTTAGAGCAGAGTGGTAGGAGTCATGGCTGGGGCTGGTGGAGGCCAGGGGCCACATGGGGCTGGCCCCAGAACCGAGGGGCCTTTGGCAAATGACTTTTTGGGTGCTTTGCCTGGTGGGGGTGGTACAAGGGTTCTTCCCACCCCACTCCTGTAGCTGGCACCTGCGGGGATACCCACCCTCTGCCTTCCTTCAGCTCACCTGTCTCACCACGGCTGCATCACACTCCAGAAGGCAAGGGCCACATCAGCCATGCCTCTGGTGTTTATCTGAAAATACCGAGTTTCCGTCTGAGGGTACCACTCAGCCTGGGGAGGCAGGAGGGAGGCTGGACATGAACATGACAGGCCTGTGAGCAGGGCAGGTAGATACTTTGTGCCCGGCTGGGCACAAAGCTCATCCCCTGAGCATGAGCCAAGGCCGAGGGTGGGTGCGAGCACACAGAGGATGCCTCCCCAGCTGCCAGGGGCATCAGCCTCATTACCAAGCACCCCGAAGGGGAACTGTTTGGGGTTGGGTGGGTCAGCCTGCAGCAGGGACTGAGACGGTCACTGTGGCATCAAAGACCAGCAGTGCAGCACCACGCCCAAAGGCTGGAACCATTCTGTGGGCTGTTGGCCTGGAAGGTAGGGAACAGCTCAGCCCAGCTGCCTTGTAGCATCATCGGGTCAGTCATAGAGCTACAGACAGATTTGGGCAGCTGGAAAACAGGCCCAGAGAACGGGGGTGTGGGCTCACCTGCAGTTACTGTCTGGCCTTAGAGCTGTGTCACTTGTGTAAAGAAGTCAGTGCCGAGGCCGGGTGCGGAGGCTCACACCTGTAATCCCAGCACTTTGGGAGGCCGAGGCAGGTGGATCACAAGGTCAGGAATTTGAGACCAGCCTGGCCAACATGGTGAAAACCTGTCTCTACCAAAAATACAAAAAAAAAAAAAAAAAGCCGGGTGTGCTGGCAGGCGCCTGTAATCCCAGCTACTCCAGAGGCTGAGGCAGGAGAATTGCTTAAACCCAGGAAGCAGAGGTTGCAGTAAGCCAAGATTGTGCCACTGCACTCCAGCCTGGGTGACAGAGCAAGACTCCATCTCAGAAAAAAGAAGTCAGCGCCAATGGCTCCCCATTACTGACTGTTGAGGTAGTTGGTGACAAACTGATTCAAAAGAGAGGACTTGCTAGGCTGGGTGCGGTGGCTCATGCCTGTAATCCCAGCACTTTGGGTGGCTGAGGCAGGAGGATCGCTTGAGCTTAGGAGTTCGAGACCAGCCTGGGCAACATTGCAAAACCCTGTCTCCACTAAAAATACAAAAATTAGCCAGGCGTGGTGGCACACAACTGTGGTCCCAGCTACTCAGGAGGCTGAGGTGGGAGGATCGCTTGAGCCTGGCAGGTCGAGGCTGCAGTGAGCTGCCTGGGCGACAGAACACTATCTCAAAAAAAAGAAAGAAAAAGAAAAAGAAAAAAAAAAGCTTGCCTCTTGTCTACCCTATGTGGTGACAGGTCAGAGGGACCTGCATTCAGGCCCACTAGCTGTTCCCTGTCCTGCTGCACCCCTGCCCTACAGGCTTGGTAGGGCCAAGGCCCTCAGCCGCCCTGCCTGGGCCCCTGACACATTAGGGGGCACATTAGAAGGGCACATTAGGGCCCCTCTCCGGGCTCCCTTAAAGGTAGCTGGTGTAGGGCGGGGTGGGTGGCAGCCCCGTTTCCCCTTCCCCCTCATCCCAGACCGTCCGGCCATCCCAGCTTTTCCCACCAAGCAGGATCTTGAGACCAGGGCACCCAGCAGGGGCCCTGGCGGGACTGGCCCATTCTAGGGGAGGGTCGCGTCAGGAACAAGCGCGGGGGCGGGGCCTCAAAGCCCCGCCCCCAGGCCCAGCGGAACCTGAAGAGGAGGGGGTGGGTGAGCCGGGCGCGGCTCTGTCAGCTGAGTGACAGTCACGGGACCGCGACCAACTTCTCTGTCTGGCTTCCTAGAGGAGAGGGAGGGATGAGCAAGGGTCTCCGAGCGCGGCAGACCAGTGGTGGGGTGCGTGCAGGGAGTCCTGCCTTGGAGGGTCCCGGGGATGGTGACGTCTGAAGCCCCGTGCAGAGGTGGGGGGATCCCCGAGGGCTGGTTCCCGAGGCTGGGGGGCCTAGGTCCCATGCGGGGGCTGCGCCTTCAAGCCCCAGTTCCCCTAGGACATGGAGAAAGAGCGAGAGACTCTGCAGGCCTGGAAGGAGCGCGTGGCGCAGGAGCTGGACCGTGTAGTGGCGTTCTGGATGGAGCACTCCCACGACCAGGAGCACGGGTACTCGGCAGCTTCTGGAGTCCTCGGCAGGGTTTTTGCCCTTCCTGAGGCCCCTCCTTACTCTCAGGCACCTCACAGATTTGCTGACCCCGGAGGGGCAGGAGGGGCTGGCAAGGCCCCTTCCAGACTTTGCTAATCCCGCGTTCCCACAGGGGCTTCTTCACGTGCCTTGGCCGCGAGGGACGGGTGTATGATGACCTCAAGTACGTGTGGCTGCAGGGGAGGCAGGTACGGTGTTCCCAGCCTGGAAGCTTCAGGCACACGGCCCATCGCCTCAAAGGTCTCCCCACCTCACCCCAGCCGGCCGCTTAGGCCACGTTCCCTCCCGTACCCCGCAGGTGTGGATGTATTGTCGCCTGTACCGCACTTTCCAGCGCTTCCACCACTCTCAGCTTCTGAATGCAGCAAAAGCAGGTGCTCCCTTCCTGCCCATCTCCCAGTGACTCTGTCCATGTTTACTCAACAGGGCACATGTGCGGAGTTCCTAGAGGGGTCTAGAAGCAGGAATGGACTGGGGAGGCTCAAGGGTGGTGTGTGTGGGGCGTCCTGGCCTTACTCCTGGCATGCCAACCCCCCAACCTCCAGGTGGTGAGTTCTTGCTGCGTTATGCCCGGCTGGCACCTCCTGGCAAGAAGTGTGCCTTTGTGCTGACTCGGGACGGCCGTCCGGTCAAGGTGCAGCGGACCATCTTCAGCGAGTGTTTCTACACCATGGCCATGAACGAGCTGTGGAGGGCCACAGGGGAAGTACAGTACCAGGTGTGTGAGAGGACGGTGCCCCTGAAGACCCCACCCTGGGACCCTGCCATGGCCACCTGATGCATTCCCACTCACTACGCAAGTCCACTGCCATGGACCCATCTGTGGGCCAAGTCCCCTTCACCTCTGAACGCTCCCTTACCCCCACAGGGGCGCAGACAGAGAGGGCCCTATCCACGCCCTGCCCCCAGCTGGGAAGAGGCCCCTCCCTCCTCCCTGGGCTCCCTGTGCTTCCAGACCTTGACCCCACAGCCTGGAAGGGACTGCACCCCCAGACTGGGAGCCCCCAAGGCAGAGTGGGCGGATCTGCCTGGTCCCTACTGGACGCCGGGTGCCAGGCCCCAAGTAGGCCCTGGGTGAACGTGTCTCGGGTTCAGGAGAGGAACTGACTCTCTCATCCCAAGGCTGTGTCCTGGGGGATGGGACAGGATGTAGCCTCAGCCTGGGCCTCCCCTCGCCTCCTGCACTCCCAGACGGAAGCCGTGGAGATGATGGATCAGATTGTCCACTGGGTGCGGGAGGACGCGTCGGGACTGGGCCGGCCCCAGCTCCAGGGGGCCCCGACTGCGGAGCCCATGGCGGTGCCCATGATGCTGCTGAACCTGGTAGAGCAGCTTGGGGAGGCAGATGAGGAGCTGGCAGGCAAATACACAGAGCTGGGGGACTGGTGCGCCCAGAGGATTCTGCAGCACGTGCAGGTGGGGGATGCCTGGGGAGCTGGGGTGGTGGGAGGCCCTCCACTCCCCCACTCCCCTGGGTGCCCTGGGGCTTGACACACCTGGAGAGACAGAGATTCGGGGAGGTCCCCACCTGGGGAAGGTGGAGGGCCTGAAGGCTGGCGGGAGGGTGTGGAGCCCCAGGCAAGGCCTGACAGAAGAAGACCCCTGCCCCACCCAAGTCCCTAAGTCCCTTCCAGGCCTCTGGGCCGTGAAACCCGCCCTGTCTGTCCCCATTCAATGTTTCACCCTCCTCTGCTGGAGAGGATTGGGCCAGAAGCGAGGATTACAACTTCCTAGGCCCTGGCTGGACTCAGTGGCTCCTGGCTGTAAACCCAGCACTTTGGGAGGCTGAGGCGGGCGGATCACTTGAGGTCAGGAGTTCGAGACCAGCCTGGCCAACATAGTGAAACCCCGTCTCTACTAAAAATACAAAAATTAGCTGGGCGTGCTGGTGCATGCCTGTAATCCCAGCTACTAGGGAGGCTGAGGCAGGAGAATTACATGAACCCAGGAGGTGGAGGTTGTAGTGAATCGAGATTGCGGCCTCTGCACTCCAGCCTGGGTGACAGAGCAAGACTCTGTCTAAAAAATGAAAAAACAACTTGCTAGGCCCAAGGGAGTGAATCGGCCCCTCCTCAAATGCCCCTCTGAGCCTGGCCCACCGAAGCCAGCAGGTCCAGGGGCTTGGTTGAAAGGGAGGGAGGAAGGGATTTCTGGGGCTGGGTCTTTCTAGTTGGGTGGCTGGGTGGGTGAAAGGGCTGGAGGCAACATTCCCTTCTGCTGCTTCCCGGTAGAGGGATGGACAAGCTGTGCTGGAGAATGTGTCAGAGGATGGCAAGGAACTTTCTGGCTGCCTGGGGAGACAGCAGAACCCAGGTGAGCGGCAGGGTAGGCTGGGGGCCACCCAGGAGGAGGGGAACACTGAGCCTTGCGTTCTGGGCTTCAGATGTGGGAGTGCCTGGGGGGACGCCTTGAGGAGGCAAAGGAGAGAGGATGGGCTTCCGGAGGCTGGGGATTTCTGCAGAGGGGCAGGCTTCCAGGGCCAGGGAGCTCAGAAGCTTGCTCACTGTTAGGGAGGGAGCAGAGAGGCGCCAAGGGCTTTTGCTCCCTCTGTCCTGTCCCTCAGCCCCAACCCCGCTCTTCCGTACTCCAACCCTCACCAGGCCACGCACTGGAGGCCGGCTGGTTTCTGCTCCGTCATTGCATTCGGAAAGGCGACCCTGAACTTCGAGCCCACGTGGTTGACAAGTTCCTGTTGTTGCCCTTCCGCTCCGGATGGGACCCTGACCATGGAGGCCTCTTTTACTTCCAGGATGCTGATGACTTCTGCCCCACCCAGGTGGGAGAGCACCCAGGGCCATGTGTGACCCACGCTGATCTAAGGCTTTCTGCCTGGGGAGGTGGGTGCTTCTCTAGAGGGTAACCTGGGGCTGGATTGGAACCTAAAGGCCTGCGCTCGGCTTCTGTGCCAGTGTTACAGGAAAGGGGTTGTGATCCAGACCCCAGAAGAGGGTTTTTGGATCTTGCGCAAGAAAGAATTCAGGGCGAGTCCGCAATGCAAAGTGAAAGCAAGTTTATTAAGAAAGTAAAGGAATAAAAGAATGGTTACTCCATAGGCACAGCAGGCCTGAGGGCTGCTGGTTGCCTTTTTATTTTTATTTTATTTTATTTTATTTATTTATTTATTTATTTATTTATTTATTTGAGGTGGAGTTTTGTTCTTGTTGCCCAGGCTGGAGTGCAATGGCGCCATCTCAGCTCACCGCAACCTCTGCTTCCCAGGTTCAAGCGATTCTCCTGCCCTAGCCTCCCGAGTAGCTAGGATTACGGGCATGGGCCACCATGCCCGGCTAATTTTGTATTTTTAGTAGAGACGGGATTTCTCCATGTTGGTTAGGCTGGTCTCGAACTCCCGACCTCAGGTGATCCACCCACCTCGTCCTCCCAAAGTGCTGGGATTACAGGCGAGAGCCACCGCACCTGGCTGGTTGCCCATTTTTATGGTTATTTATTGATGATATGCTAAACAAGGGGTGGATTATTCATGCCTACCCTTTTTAGACCGTATAGAGTAACTTCCCGATGTCGCCATGGCATTTGTAAACTGTCATGGCATTAGTGGGAGTATAGCAGTGAGGACCACCAGAGGTCACTCTCATGGCCACCTTGATTTTGGTGGGTTTTGGCTGGCTCCTTTACTGCAACCTGTTTTATCAGCAAGGTCTTTATGACCTGTATTTTGTGCTGACCTCCTATCTCGTCCTGTGGCTTAGAATGCCTCAGCCGTCTGGGAATGCAGCCCAGTAGGTTTCAGCTTCATTTGACCCAGCTCCTATTTCAGATGGAGTTGCTCTGGTTCACACACCTCTGACACCAGTGCTCCCCAGTCCCATGTCATATGGAAGCCACCAGGGAGCTGGTGAAACGCTGATGCTCAGACGTATGTGCCATTCGTCTGGAGCCCTGGTGTCCATGCAAGGACCTACAGCTCAGGAAGCTGATGTCACTGGGAGGGTCCTTCAGAACCTCCAAAGGTGTCCCAATTCACCTCCAGTAGCTTGGGTCAATGGAGACACAGCCAGGTCTGGAAAGTTGGGGAGGGGAGTGTCCTGCTGAGATGCCTGCCCCTGCTCTCCCCTCAGCTGGAGTGGGCCATGAAGCTCTGGTGGCCACACAGCGAAGCCATGATTGCCTTCCTCATGGGTTACAGTGAGAGTGGGGACCCTGTGCTGCTGCGCCTCTTCTACCAAGTGGCTGAGTACACCTTCCGCCAGGTGAGCGCTGCCTCCTTGTCCCCTCTAGAGGCTGAATGGGGTAATGGGGGGAGTCTGGCCGGGCTGTGCTCTTGCCCCCTTGCTGAGCACAGTCGCTCAGCTGGTCTGAGAGTTTCTGGAGCCCCAGTGCTGTTCGTTCAGTCAACAAAGAAGCCCCTGTCCTCCTAGAGCTCGAATTTTGGTGGTGGGGGCCGGGAGAGCAGACTGTTAGCAAGCAGACCTAGGTGCTGGTGAGAGTGACAGCTGTGGGAATAATACCACTGGAGAGGGGTGTGGGGGGCTCTTACCTATGGGGTGGCAACGGGGAAGCACTGAACAGGGGCCAAGTCAATCAGGGGTGTGTCTGAGGGACTGGGAGTCTGGGCATGTGGCACAGCAGGGGGGCCTGGCAGCCTGGAAGGATAAAGGCAGAGTAGGCAAGGGATGGACTCCAGCTGCCTGGTCTGATTCCACTGTTACCTGGGTCCTGGGGTTTGGAGGGGGAGGGTGTTATGGGGGAAGCCTGTAGGGTATAGGGCAGAAACTGGGACAGCAGAGGAAGCTGTAGCTGTCATCCCAGCCAGTGAGGGCTGGCCCAGGTGGGAACTGGTGGGGACAGAGGGTTCAGAGTCTGGTGGAGCAGCAGTGGGATTCCTGAGTCTCTAGTTCAGATGGAGAGATCTGGACTCACCATGAATGTTTTCAATATCATAAGAATGTAGATGCTGCCTGGCACAGTGGCTCATGCCTATAATCCTAGCACTTTGGGAGGATGAGGCGGGAGGATCACTTGAACCCAGGAGTTCAAAACCAGTCTGGGCAACATAGTGAGACCTGGTCTCTACAAAAAATTTTTAAAAATTACCTGGGTGTGGCCGGGCGCGGTGGCTCAAGCCTGTAATCCCAGCACTTTGGGAGGCCGAGACGGGCGGATCACAAGGTCAGGAGATCGAGACCATCCTGGCTAACACCGCGAAACCCCGTCTCTACTAAAAACACAAAAAATTAGCCCGGCGAGGTGGCGGCGCCTGTGGTCCCAGCTACTCGGGAGGCTGAGGCAGGAGAATGGCGGGAACCCGGGAGGCGGAGCTTGCAGTGAGCTGAGATCTGGCCACTGCACTCCAGCCTGGGCGACAGAGCGAGACTCCGTCTCAAAAAAAAAAAAAAAAAAAAAAAAAAAAAAAAAAAAATTACCTGGGTGTGATGCACACCTGTAGTCCTAGCTACTCAGGAGGCTGAGGCAGGAGGACTGCTTAAGCCCAGGAGTTTGAGGCTGCAGTGAGTTATGATCACACCACTGCACTCCAGCCTGAGCTGGGCAACAGAGCAAGACTATGTCTCAAAAAAAAAAGGCCAGGCGTGGTGCCTCATGCCTGTAATCCCAGCACTTTGGGAGACTGAGGTGGGCAGATCACCTGAAGTCAAGAGTTCAAGACCAGTCTGGCCAACATGGTGAAACCCCGTCTCTCAAGACCAGTCTGGCCAACATGGTGAAACCCCGTCTCTACTAAAAATACAAAAATTATCCAAGCGTGGTGGCAGGAGCCTGTAATCCCAGCTACTTGGGAGGCTGAGGCAGGAGAATCGCTTGAACCCAGGAGGCAGAGGTTGCAGTGAGCCGAGATCGCACCATTGCGCACTCCAGCCTGGGGAACAACAACAGCAAGACTTGGTCTCAAAAAAAAAGAGTACAGATGCTGCTGAGATCTATGAGGCAAAAAGGGAAATGGAGGCCCAGCAAAGGAGACCGGAATCAGTGGTGACGTAGGAAGAAGACCAAACCAGGGGCCCCCTGAGGCCCAAGTGCTAGGAGCAGAGTGATAAGCTGTCCTGACTGCTGCCCAGGAGGCACCTCGAGCTGCTGAATGCAGGAAAGGACGTGGCACCCAGTGGTGGCAAGGCCTGGGTGGTGAATGAATGAAGATTCATCATGTGTTTCTAAAGCCACGACTCCGACTCCACTGGTAAACCCTGGTACTGGGAGGACTATAGCAGGGGATCTTATTCTGGGGTGTGTGGGCTTTGAAACCAGGGGTGGAGAATCACATCTGTATTTGTACTAACCTCTAACGGAAACTAGCATTTGCTTCCATTATGAGTGGAGGCAGTGAACCACATTGGTAATAGAAGTGCCTGGCTTTGTCACCGATAGAAATCCCAGATGTGTTTATATTGCATTGCAGTTAGAGGGACATCTGCAAGTATCACATATGCTCATCACTACTTCCAAACCACCAGGGTGGTTAGACCTGCAGCTATATCTTAATATTTAATGCATTCATAGAGTATGTATTAGGGGCCACCAGTTATAACTCAAAAATGAAATAATAAGATATAGATGACATTAAACAATTACAAAAGCTATGATTAACAGGTAAATTGGCTGGGTATGGTGGCTCACACCTGTAATCTCAGCACTTTAGGAGACGGAGGCGGGTGGATCACCTGAGGTCAGGAGTTCTGGACCAGCCTGGCCAACATGGCGAAACCCCGTCTCTACTAAAAATACAAAAATTGGGCTGGGTGCCTTGGCTCACGCCCATCATTCCAGCACTTTGAAAGGCCGAGGCAGGCGGATCACTTGAGGTCAGGAGTTCAAGAACAGCCTGGCTGACATGGTGAAACCCCATCTCTACTAAAAATACAGAAAATTAGCCAGGCGTGGTGGCAGGTGCCTGTAATCCCAGCTACTCAGGAGGCTGAAGCAGGAGAATCACTGGAACCTGGGACGTGAAGGTTGCAGCGAGCTGATATCACGCCACTGCACTCCAGTCTGAGCGACAAGAGCGAAACTCTGTCTTAAAAAAACAAAAACTGGCCGGGCGCTGTGGCTCAAGCCTGTAATCCCGGCACTTAGGGAGGCCGAGACAGACGGATCACGAGGTCAGGAGATCAAGACCATCCTGGCTAACACAGTGAAACCCCGTCTCTACTAAAAAATACAAAAAGCTAGCCGGGTGAGGTGGTGGGCGCCTGTAGTCCCAGCTACTCGGGAGGCTGAGGCAGGAGAATGGCGTAAACCCGGGAGGCGGAGCTTGCAGTGAGCTGAGATCCGGCCACTGCACTCCAGCCCGGGCGACAGAGTGAGACTCCGTCTCAAAAAAAATAAAAATAAAAATAAATAAAAACCAAAAAACCAACCAACCAACCAACAAACAAAAAAAAAACAGGTAAGTCATTATGCATCAACCAACATAACAGAATACAGAAGGCAAAAATCCAGACATTGAGGGAAATTCTTCTTTACCTTCCTGTGTCATGTCAAGTAGTCAAAAAATAAGTAAGGACTTGAACAATGTAACTCAAAAGATAGAATGAATACACACAGAACTAGTATTATTTATTTATTATTATTTTTTTATTTTTTTGAGACAGGGTCTCTATCGCCCAGACTGAGTGCAGTGGCACGATCATGGCTCACTGCAGCCTCAACCTCCTGGGCTCAAGCGATCCTCCCACCTCAGCTGCCCAGGTAGCTGGGACTACAGCTGTGTACCATCACACCCAGCTAATTCTTTAATTTTTTTTTTGTATAGATGGGGTCTCACTATGTTTCCCAGGCTGGTCTTAAACTCCTGGACTCAAGTGATCCTCCCGCCTCGGCCTCCCAAAGTGCTGGGATTACAGGCGTGAGCCTCTGTGCCCAGCCCAGGACTAGTTTTACTTCCTACGAAGAAGAATACACCAACTCTTATGGGCCACCATTTAAAGAGACATTTTCATACTGGACTTCAATGTAATTGATTCCATGATCCTTTGGAGAAGAGGCTGAACTGACAAGGCTTCCTGAGACAGGTGCCCCAAGGAATGGTAGTGGAGAGAGAAGGAAAGAGAGTGGAATGGGCACTGGGCAGGGGCAGACGGACGACGAGATGCATTTGGGACCAATGGTGAGCCAGGACAGGAGTCAGATGAGATTGTACATCTACTGGAAGACAGGCCTGTGAAGCTGGGAATGGGAGCTCCAAGGGAGTCACATCTTAAGAGTTTCATGACAGGTCGTTTCCTCCATCAGGGTTCTTTGTTTCTTTAAATCAACGTAACCACCACTACAGTCACGATAGAGAACCTTTTTCTTTCTTTCTTCTTTCTTTCCTTCCTTCCTTCCTTCTTTCTTTCCTTTCTTTTCTTTCTTTCTTTCTTTGAGATGGAGTCTTGCTCTGTCACCCAGGCTGGAGCGCAATGGCGTGATCTCGGCTCACTGCAACCTCCGCCTCCTGTGTTCAAGCGATTCTCCCGCTTCAGCCTCCCGAGTAGCTGGGATTACAGGTGCGCCACCACGCCCAGCTAATTTTGTGTTTTCAGTAGAGATGAGGTTTCACCATGTTGTCCAGGCTGATCTTGAACTCCTGACCCCAGGTGATCCGCCCTCCTCGGCCTCCCAAAGTGCTGGATTTCAGGCGCGAGCCACAGCGCCTGGCTTGATAGAGAACGCTTCTACATGGCAGGGCAGGGTTCTTTCATTCCATCTAGCAGTGTCTCGTCCCCTTGCCCAGTCGGTTATATAGTTGTAGCCCTGCTTGCTGCGCCCACCCCTGCTTTCATCTTTGTGGAGGACGCAGTGTCGCGGTTCAGATCGCTGGTTCTGGAGCCATGTTACCTGGGATCAACCCAGGCTCTGACCCCTGGTAGCGATGCAGTGGCATCTGGGCGGGTCCTGCAGGCGCTAGCTGTCACTGTCTCTGTTATTCCAGTTTCGCGATCCCGAGTACGGGGAATGGTTTGGCTACCTGAGCCGAGAGGGCAAGGTGGCCCTCTCCATCAAGGGAGGTCCTTTCAAAGGTGAGTGGGGGACAGGGCGGGGCCGCAGGGGTTGCGCCTCTCGGCTGCCCCCGGCCCTCACTACCTGCCCGCCTCCACCCGCAGGCTGCTTCCACGTGCCGCGGTGCCTAGCCATGTGCGAGGAGATGCTGGGCGCCCTGCTGAGCCGCCCCGCCCCCACGCCGACGCCCGTCCCCACCCCCGCCCGTCGAGGCGCGGAATAAAGGCTGAGTCTGCTCCACCTGCGGCTGTGCGCGTGTCTGTGGGCTCGCGGGACCGGGGCTGCGGCGCCGAGGGAGGGGCCTGCTCCAGCTCCGGGGCAGCGCCCGCCCCGCCCCCAGGCCCGCCCCGCCCCCAGGCCCGCCCCGCGCTGACCGGCTGCGCGCATTGGCCCGCCTCGCGCGCTGGCCTGTCCCGCGCATTGGCCAAGCGGCCGGGAGCACGGGCCCGGCGGCCGTGCACTTCCGGCCGGTGGCCGGCCCGGCGCGCACCGCCCCTTCCGCCACCGCCCAGCGAGCCGAGCCCCGGTCCCAGCCCCGGCCGTCCCGGCGTCGCTTCGGAGCGCGGCGGCAGCTGACTGCGCCTTCACGATCCGCTGGGACCCGCGAGCCCCGCCGCCGTTATGAACATCCGCAATGCGAGGGTGAGCGCCCGGGGCGGGAGGCTGTCCGCGCCGCGTGGGCGCCGGGCCCGGTGGCTGCTGCGCATGCTCCCGAGGGCCCTGGCCGAGCCCGGCCCGGTGGCCCTGCGTGTGCCTGCGGCCGCTGGACCTATGGGGCTGGCCCAGCCCGCCGAAGAGGCCGGGGCGCGGGGCCGGGGCTGCGATTCCCTCCTGTTTGCGTGATGTCGGGCCTGCGTTGGGTGGGCTCCGGGGACCTCCGGGCGCCCACTGCTGTTCCTGTGCTCTGGGCGTTGTGCAAAGTCAGATCGTCACAGCGCCTGCTCAGCCCCGAGGGAGGGGGGCCGAGCAGACCGACGGGGAGCAGACTTCTCACCCGTGGTCACCGGCGCCTTGGACTGAGCGCGTTCCACTGCCCTCCTTCCTTGCAGCCAGAGGACCTAATGAACATGCAGCACTGCAACCTCCTCTGCCTGCCCGAGAACTACCAGATGAAATACTACTTCTACCATGGCCTTTCCTGGCCCCAGGTGGGCAGCTTCTGAATTTGGGCGTGGGGGAAACCAGGCCGAGGAAAATCCAATCGGGCCATCTTGGAGGGAGTGGACAAGTCTGTCAGAGCCCAGGGGGCTGTATGGTTGGTGACGTCCCTAGTGTTTTCAGCTGGCAGGCAGGGGCAAAGGAAAAGAAGGCGCCTGAAGGGAGCAGAGAATAGGGGCATCGGGCAGGATCCCCACATTGCATCTTCTTTCTGGGCATGGGCAGGGCACAGTGTGGCGCGGGGGAGACCAAGTCACCCAGCCTGGAGGTCATGAGCCATCACACAACTGGCCACTCGTCCAGCTTGTGTCCCTCTAAAGGGCTCCTCCAGCTCCAACATGAAGTTTTCTCACTCCCTTTTCCTCTCTGTCACCAGCTCTCTTACATTGCTGAGGACGAGAATGGGAAGATTGTGGGGTATGTCCTGGCCAAAATGTGAGTCACCAAAGAGGAAGAGAGAAGCTACACGTGTCTGGTGGATGCCTCTGTGGGCTTTAAAAAAATGAATAGGCTCTTTCTTTTCAGTACAGTTGAAAGTTTATAGAAAAATTGAATAGAAAGGACATGGAGTTCCATAGAACCCCTCAGCATTCCCTCCCTGCCAGTTTCCTCTATTAGTAGCTTGTTGGATTTGTGTGGTCCACTTGTGACAAGTGATAAACTAATGTGATATATTACTATTATTATTATTTTTTTTTTTTGAGACGGAGTCTTGCTCTGTTGCCCAGGCTGGAGTGCAGTGGCGTGATCTTGGCTCACTGCAAGCTCCACCTCCTGGGTTCAAGTGATTCTCCTGCCTCAGCCTTCCTAGTAGTTGGGATTACAGGCATGTGACACCACACCTGGTTAATTTTTTAATTTTTTTAGTAGAGATGGGGTTTCACTATGTTGGCCAGGCTGGTCTCGAACTCCTGACCTCAGGTGTTCCACCCACCTCAGCCTCCCAAAGTGCTAGGATCGCAGGCGTTAGCCACTGCACCCAGCCGATATATTAATATTAACTAAACCCCCCTGCACTTCTCTTTGTGTTGTAAGCCCCATGGTTTTGACCAAATGATATGTGTCCACCTTTGTATTATCACAGGATAGTTTCACTGTGTTCCACGCATTTATCCCTTCCTCTTAACCCCTGGCAACCACTGATTTTTTACTGTCTGCATAGTTTTTGCCTTTTCCAGGATGTCATAGAGTTGGAATCATACTGTATACAGCCTTTTCAGGCTGGCTTTTGTTCACTTAGTAGTGCACATTTAAGCTTCTGCCTTGTCTTTGCGTGGGTTGACAGCTCATTTCTTTTTTTATTTTTATTTTTTGAGATAGGGTCTTGCTCTGTTGCCCAGGCTGGAGTGCAGTGGCATGATCATGGCTCACTGCAGCCTCAACTTCCCAGGCTCAAGTGATCCTCTCACCTCTGCCTCCCAAGTAGCTGAGACCACAGGCATGCGCCACCACACCCAGCTAATTTTTTGATTTTTTTTTTTTTGTAGAGACAAAAAAAGTGTTGTCCAGGCTGGTCTCAAACTCCTGGGCTCAAGCAATCCTCTTGACCCGGCCTGCCGAGTAGCTGGAACTATAGGCGTGTGCCCCATACCTGGCAGGCATGGGGTTTTCAGGCAGTAGAGGGTGGCAGGATCAGCTGCTCTGATCCAAGAGGCTCCTGGCCCTCCCCCAGCTGGGGTCTTAGGGGGCTGTAGGGCCAGCCTAGAATTTGCATATCCACTTTACAGATGGCGGGGGGTGGGGGTGGCTGTGCCTACACTGAGCTCCTTTGCAGCCTCTGCTTTGTCCCTCTCCAGGGAAGAGGACCCAGATGATGTGCCCCATGGACATATCACTTCATTGGTATGTAAGGTTCACTCAGGCTCTCTGGTGGGGGTGGAAGTGGGGGTTAGTTGAGGCAGCCCTCAAGGTCCCAGTCCTTCACCCGCTCTCTGCTCTTCTCCTACCAGGCTGTGAAGCGTTCCCACCGGCGCCTCGGTCTGGCTCAGAAACTGATGGACCAGGCCTCTCGAGCCATGATAGAGAACTTCAATGCCAAATACGTCTCCCTGCATGTCAGGAAGAGGTGGAAGCCGGGCTGAGGGAAGGGGGATTGAGGGGGAGAGATATTGCCTTGACGGGGGTCCTGGGGTACCTCGGCTTTTGGTGAAGATCCAGGAAGTGGGATTGGGGTGAAGGAGGGACCAAGAGGAGGGGCAGGCACTGGACGTGCTACCCCTCCCTGGCCATGTCCGTGCAGCTCAGCAGTGCCTTGTTCCCCTGCAGTAACCGGGCCGCCCTGCACCTCTATTCCAACACCCTCAACTTTCAGTAAGTAGATCTCGAGTTTTCTCGTGGGCTGGGGTTGGCCCCAGGTCTGGCCCATCAGGGCACCTGAGACCGGCTGAGTTGCCTTCCAGGCTAGGGGTGGGCCGGATGTGGGGAGGACGCTGTGGACCCCAGTGCTGCCAGGATGCCTCCACATTCACTCGGTGGCTGATGGTTGAAAAGCCGGCATGGAGACAGCACCTGCCTGCTGAAACGTGCTCCGTGTGTGTTGTGATGGAGGAGCTCTGGCCCATGCTGGCAGAGGCTGGTGAAGGGCACACGGGCTGTTTAGTAATGTTTGGGAATAAAGAGGTGTGGGTCCCTGGCGTGAGCAGATCATAGCATGGCCAAGCACCTGGAAGAATCCAAGAGAGAGCAGAATCAAGGAGAATGCACGTTCAGGAAGGAAGGACCGGCGGCCAGGCAACCTAGTGGATGGGGCAGGTCTGCCTGAGGACCGGGAGGCCCCGTGTGCCTAGCACAGGAGAGAGGACCTGGCAGTCAGCATGCCCAGTAGACAGTGGAAAAAAGTGCTTGCAAGTGAAGCTGGGGTGGGCTGCCCGTGGAGGGACACTAACTGCAGTCAGCCCCTGTTTGGCAGGGGTGAAGAGGAGGGACTGTTGGGAAGGGCAGTGGCCTCTGGGCTGGATGCTGGCAAGAGGGATCTGTGACCCAGATGAGGATGTCTGGTGGGAACTGCTTTATAGCTAAGTCAACAATCCTCATGTCTTAGGCCTGGCAGGGCCAGCCTAGGCCATTGAGTCCAGCTCCCCTTCCAGGGACATGGCCACCCGAGTCTGCACACATGCCTCCCCAGTGCAGGCATGGCCCCTGAGCTGCTCAGGCAGGGCCCGTGCTGCCTAGGGATGACTCCCCTAAACAGAGCTCACTGTCTTTCCTGGGTTCTGATGGCTGTTGTGAGGCAGCTCAGTAAGGGACAGGACGCAGGGCAGGGAGGGAAGGGGAAGGCTGAATTCAGGAATTCAGCTCACAAGAAACCACAGAAATGAATCCTTAGTAGCCAGGCTAAGGACACAGAACGGGGGCAGGACAGGGGTGGGGCGGGCCGCTGTTTCCTGGAGCCTTTGCTGGAGAGAACAGAGGGCAGGTCACACTGGACTTGCTGTCTCAGGAAGGAGCCCTTCAGGGAGAAAACACGGCATCTTGCTCCAGTAGCCATGATACTAGGAGTGGAGGAGGGTGTCCCCCAGGTATGGGTCTTCCTCCTTGCTCTCTACCCTCTGCCCCCAGGATCAGTGAAGTGGAGCCCAAATACTATGCAGATGGGGAGGACGCCTATGCCATGAAGCGAGACCTCACTCAGATGGCCGACGAGGTAAGAGCCTGCATGAAGCCAAGCCAGGCAAGCGGGGGTGGCATTGGGGAGCCCCGAGACAGTGGCTGGAGGTGCGACCAACTTTGAATGCCAGCCCTTGTGGCTATGTTGCCAGGAGTCACAACCTCAGTTTCCTAGGTTGGGCTTTAGAGGAGGCCGTCTGCCTAGCAGCCTGGAGGGTGATGGGAGAGGCAGAGGGAGGAGGCTTTTAGAAGGGAAGTGGGGAGGCCTGGGGACCAGTGGGTGGCCTGCCTGCTCAGAGGTAGTTCTGAGTCAGGGTTCTGCCCCAGGCTCCTTGGGTGGCAGGGCTGGTCAAGGGGCAACGCTGTGTCGTGGGGGCCTCCATGGTAGTCAGTGAGCCCAGGTAGCAGTGGACTGGGGCTCCAGCCAGGTGTCCCCACTCAGTCCCACGTGTCCTGCCTAGCCCTGCTGCCTCACTATGCCCCTCTCCTCAGCCAGCGACAGGGCCAGGCTCCCTTTGTCTGGAAACTTAGGCCCCATCTCTTTACCTCCTGCTTCTCCCTGGGTTCCTGGTGGCAGCTGAGGCGGCACCTGGAGCTGAAGGAGAAGGGCAGGCATGTGGTGCTGGGTGCCATCGAGAACAAGGTGGAGAGCAAAGGCAATTCACCTCCGAGCTCAGGAGAGGCCTGTCGCGAGGAGAAGGGCCTGGCTGCCGAGGATAGTGGTGGGGACAGCAAGGACCTCAGCGAGGTCAGCGAGACCACAGAGAGCACAGATGTCAAGGACAGCTCAGAGGCCTCCGACTCGGCCTCCTAGAGCCTGCCCCATCCCTTCCTCACCCCACGAGCTTTCACAATAAATTCGCTCCGTGGCACTGGGGAACTTCGTGTGTGTGCGTGTGCACATTTAGAGGGTGTGTTTCTCCAGGTCCTCTGGTGGGGAGGTGAGCCTCAGCCTTTTGACCCAGAGCATCCTGCCAGTCCGAATAGAAGGGAAGAGCTTTGGAGGTGGGACTCCCCAGTCTCATGGCCTTCAGCAGCTGTGGCCCCGGGAAGGAGGCCCTGGGCTTAGGGAGAGACCCTGCCTTGGAGGTCTGCTTGGCCACGCTGAATGTGTTTTGTGGCATAAGCCTGGGCCGCTTAGGCTCAAAGCTCAACAGCAGGGCTCCCACTCTTGGTAGCCTTCAGTTCTCCTCCCATCTTCACCTTCAGACCTTTTCTCTCCCTAATCACACCTGCTTTGGGCTACAGCAGCTCTGCGGCATAGCCGTGGGCTCCAGATGTGGACATCTGACTGCTCATTGGGCTTATCTACAGCTGTCCTGAGTATAATGACCCAGCCAGACGCCCTGTCAACGGTCCTTGAGTCCTCCCTTCCCTGCCACCCTAATGGTCAGTGAGTCCATGATACCTCTTGAGTCTACTCCCTGAGTTTGCATTTGAAAATAATTTATTTTTAGTACAATTCCCCCCGTTTGCCCTATTGACATTTTGTATTAGTTGGTGTATTTGTTATTGTTGATGAGCTAATACTGATAAGTTATTGTAAACTATAGCCCATGGTTTACATTAGGTTTCCTGTCTGTGTTGTACAGTTTCTATGGGGTTACACAAATACATAAAGCCATTTATTCCCTCAAAATAATTTCATGCAGAATACAAAACTGGGTGGCTGTTGGGTGCGGTGGCTCATGCCTGTAATCACAGCACTTTGGGAGGCCGAGGTGGGCGGATCACTTTAGCTCAGGAGTTGGAGACCAGCCTGGGCAGCATGGCGAAACCCCATCTCTACTAAAAATAGAAAACCAGGTGTGGTGGTGCACGCCTGTAATCCCAGCTACTCGGGAGGCTGAAGCAGGAGGATCCCTTGAGCCCGGGAGGTGGAGGTTGCTGTGAGCCCTGATCACGCCACCACACTCCAGGGACAGAGACCCGTCTCTAAATAAATAAATAAATAAATACACACACACCAAAATCCTGTTTTTCATGGAGTCACCCTAACCGTAACGCTCTCTCCTGTGTCTCCTCCCTTCCCTTCCCTCCGGCTGCAAAGCCATCGCTTGCTGTTCCTAGTCCCTGGGCGGGCCCTGTATTCCTGAGCCCTCTGTGTACCCTGCTACTGCAGGTGGCACTGCTCCTCCGCCAGGTTGAAAATTCGCCAAACAGACCTGGAGCTCGGTTCTCTTTGGCTGGCGCCTGGCACGTGACCAGCAGGCAGCCAGCTGCTGTGGAAGCGGAGCCCGGAGACCGGCAGGGCGGGGCCGGGGCCGGAAAGGCGCGTCTGCGCACGCCCGCAGCTCTCCGGTTCCCGGCTCGGGCGAGGCTGTGTTCTGATTGGCTTAAGACGTGGGCTTCCCTTTGTATGGGCCGGAGGCGGAGCTCTGGCCCGCCCCGCGCCTGGCGTCAGTGTCTTCCGGTTCGCAAGCCCGCGGCAAGCTTCGTTCCCAGGCTCTGATTGGTCCGGCGGCTCTGGGTTCTGCGCGTGGGGTGCGGGGGAAGGGCGGGCTTGGGCACTGCCTCGGCCGCGCCCCGGCGCCGGTGGAAGGGAGCTGGCCCAAGCTCCCACGGCGTCCGCGGCGCCCTCCTTCCGCCCCTGCCCGGCCCGCTGGACCCGTCCCTGGCGGGCCCGATGCCTGTCGGCCGCTCCCTCCGTCCCCGTGCGGACAGGTCCCCGCCTTCTGCGGGCTGCCTGGCTTTTGAATGCTTTGAAGGGGAACAATGGAGCGAAGGATAGAGCGAGCAGCAGGGGGCAGTTGCGTTCAGGGCCTTAAATGCCAAACAAGTGCCCTAAAAGCCTGGGCCAAACACTCAGGCTCTAAAGCACGGGCTGAATGGGGCATCCTAGGAATAGCTCTGGAGTGAAAAAAAGAGCGAAGAGAGCGTTTGAAGCCACGGACTGAGGCCTTTCCTGCCTGCCTGAGCCCTGTGTCTGGCTCTGCTGGGTGGAGGGATCTTTGGGGACCAGTCGGGGCTCGGATGTGGGGGCCAGCTAGGGAGGGGCGGGGGTCCCTGCTTCCCCTTGGCCTGAGGCAGAGGTGGGACGTGGGAGTCTCCCAACCAGGAGCAGGTTAGGGTGTGGGTGCGGCTGTAGGCAGGGGCGCAGGCTCTCTAGTCTCGCTGGAGAACTCGAACATCGGTACTTCCGAGGGCAGCTGCTGGAAGTCCAGGTCCTGGGCCTGCCTGGGTCTGGCTAGCTCCCAGGCCTTGAAGCCCCAGGTCCTGCAGACACACTCGACGACGTGTTCGGGAAGGGCCTTGGTACTGGGAGAAGGGGGAGGGGAGGTGAGGGAGTGTTTTTTCCCTTCTGGGCAAGAGAATTAATTGCTCCTAGTTGAAAGGCAGGAAGTACCCGCACAGCCTCTCCTCCCCAGATCTGCAGGTCAGGGTCATATGTGCCCACATTTGCACAGAGCCTTACTCTGACATGCGTGCAAACACACGCCTAGTACCCCTGCACTAGTGCCCGCAGGCCCGCCTTCGGAACAGACGCCTGGTGCCCAAGTGCCTTGCCCCTCTCCCCACATCTATACCCCAGGGATTTCCCTCCCACCAAATTGAAGTAAGTTGTCTGCTTGACTTGTCAACCGCCTCCTGCCTCCTGCCTTCCCGATTTCCCGGAGAAAAGCTGCTGCCCTGTGGTAGAGAGTGGAGGAAAGCCCCACCACCCGTGGATGAGGGAGGCCCCAAGACTTGCCCCCAGGGTAGCTAAGATCTTACTCCGAGGGGGCTGCCCCCCTCAGGCCTATGACGGGCAGGTGCAGCTGCAGGGGAAGGGAGGCAGAGCAGTCTCTTCCGGCAGCAGGAAGTGGTAACCGCCTATGGGGAAATCGTGGGGCTGAGCAGAAGGGGAACCGGAGCTGAACTCTCCTCCCCTACCAAGGGGGCCTGGAGGGAATGGCAGCCAGCTGCTGAGGTTCTGCTCTCTGGTGCTGACCTTCCTTCCCCCTCCCCTCTGAACTTCCCACCCCAGCTCTCAAGGCTCCTTGGACCTCTCTGGGGGCTGACTTGGGAAGGGAGGACCCCATCCGATGTCTGGGGGAAGCAGGCCACCCAGGGGGAGTCCAGAGCCTGGGGCAGCAATGGTGTTCATGTCCACTGGTACTGTGGGCCAGCGGCCCCGCTGTGAACTGTGCAGTCTGGCAGTGGTGACCAGGGACAGCCTTCTGGAGGTGGGGGGATGGCAGCCTGGGATGCCAGCTTATGTTGGGGCTCTCATGCCCGCTCCGGCTGCTTGGCAGCGGGGCTTTGGGCACAAGGCAGTCTAGGTGCAGGCCCAGTGGGAGGAGACGGCAAGACCGGGGCACAGTGGGGCTGGAAGGGGCGCCCTGCCCCCAGGAGCCCCTCGCGGGCAGTGCCAGCCCTGGGCCGCCCCGCCCCACCGGGAGCCGCGCTGGGGGCGGGGCTGGGCGGAGCCCGCGCAGGGTGCTGGCCGCAGCGCCCCCAAGTCCCGGCGCCGGGCCCACTCACGGCCGCGTGGGAGCAGTGGGGTTCGACGGCGCGGCCGCTAGGCCGCCATGGCCGCTCACGGGAAGCTGCGGCGGGAGCGGGGGCTGCAGGCTGAGTATGAGACGCAAGTCAAAGGTGAGAGGGCGCCGGGCGCTCCCGGCCCGTTTCCTGCGGAGACCCCAAGGTCGTGAGGGAGCCCCAAGCGTCCCCGCGCTGACCCAGGGCCCGATGCTCTCCCCAGCGACCTCTGGAGTGGGGGTGGAGGAGGGAGCCTGAGCCTCTTGCCTGCCTCCCCACGCCCATTTGGCCTCAACCGCCTGCCATCTTCCCTTCCTTCTTTCCTGTCTTCCTTCTTTTGGTCTTTGTCCTCCTTGGGTCTCTGCTCCTCACCCAAGGTTCAGTGTAGACACTGGTGGCCGCCGGTAAAGGGGAGCCGGATGTACCAACGTGCCCCCCAGAAGGCGGTAGTTTAGCTACAGTGAAGTCAACCACCTTGATTGGGCTAGGGGGTGGGGGGTGAGTAAGGGAGTCTGGGTGAGTGGATTGGTGGAGATCACCTGGCCCTAACCCCAGTGTAGTCCCTGGAGCCTCAGCACCTTTTGCCCCCCTTTAGCACTGAGGGGGATCAGAGGCAAGGGCCACTGTCTCTGGGTCAAGCTGGCGCAGTGAGTCTTGGTTGAGAGATTTAACAGGGCTGGCTTCTCAGCCTTCTGAAATTGAACCTCTTTGGGTTCTGATAAACACCCATGTGCAAATCACATGCAAATCAGCTTTGCAAATTCTTAGCCAATAGCTTGTGCCCATCTTATTCAGGGCATGGTAACTCTTGCAAAGGAAAGAGGCAGCATCTCAGCGCCAGCAGCTCCTCCATATCACTCTCAATCACTCCATTTTACCAGTTACGGAAACAAGCTCAGAGAGGTGCAGTGACTTGCCCGTGGTAACACAGCACTACAACTTCTAGGACGTAGAATGCAATAACCCTTGAAGTGCCTTTCAACCCAGAGATGTAGGTTCTAACATCATTATTCAGTGCAAGCAATTTATACCCTTTAAAGTATGCCCCAGTCCTCCTCCTTTGGAAAAGGCAGCCTGTGTCCAGAACCAGCTTGAGGTGACTACGCAGGGTGAGCCAGCTTTCCAAGCCTCACCATCATCTTGCTCAGATGGAAGTAATCATCTCCATCCTGCTTCCCCAAAATGCCATGAAGCTGAAAGACTTGGAAAACTTCAATCAGCAAATATGGGTCAGTGATTTCACACTGAAAAGTTGGGGTTTCGAGCAAGACTATCTAAGGGTTCCTCACTTGCTCTGGGTCTGCATCCCACACCCTAGAAAAACTTCCTATCATGCTACAAAACGGGGTCACTGTCTTGACACCCTAAATTCTCAAAGGTCAGCATAGCCGTGGTTTTGGAGACCATCTTCTCTTCTGTTTTGCTTGTCAGCAGAAGTGAGACCAAATGCCTTGCTCACAGGAAGTGCTGGTGGGGCCCTGGGCCCAGCTCTGTAATTCAGGCAGACATGGATTCCAGCTCTCCTTTTGCCAGATGTTTCCTATACATCTCTGCTGTCCCAGGCCCTGGAAGTATACTGCTGTACAGGAGAGAACCCCGACTCCAGCCCCTCCAGCCCTGGCTTTTTACCCAGAGTAAAAACAGTATTCAATGAGGACTCTCCTGATTTCAAATGGCGTCAGCACCCACCCTGCCCTCACATGGCTCATGGGTCTAGTGGGGGAGACATAGACTTTCCATTATGATAATAAGCACCACAGAGGGAAAGTGCAGTGTGCCAAGAAGGGGTCGGAAGAGGGCCAGCCCTAGTTTGGGGGGAGGCCAGGACAGGGTGTGCTGACGAGTTTGTCTGAACTGAGATCTGAAAGCTCGGCCAGGAAAGCCACCAGTGCAATCAACTTGCAATTCACAAGTTTCCTGCTCAACACCAGCCGGGTGTGCATGCCCGGATCTGGACTGGGACATGGCTTCCAGTTAGCTTTTACTGCCGGCAGTGATGAAGAAAGGCAGCAGTTCCCTCTGCTGGTTCCTTCTGCACTGTTCAGTTGTCATAAGTCCCCAGAGATTGTATTCCTCTGGGGGAAGCAGGGCAAGACAGGCTCCAGAGGGCCAGTGAGGTGAGCAGTCGCACCTTTCTTGGAATGAAATGAAATTTACTTCTATCAAAAAATGTTAAACCGGGCTGGGCGTGGTGGCTCACGCCTGTAATCCCAGCACTTTGGGAGGCCGAGGCGGGCGGATCACCTGAGGTCAGGAGTTTGAGACCCAGTCTGGCCAACGTGGTGAAGCCCTGTCTCTACTAAAAATACAAAAATTAGCTGGGTGTGGTGGTGCATGCCTGTAGTCCCAGCTACTCGGGAGGCTGAGGTGGGAGAATCGCTGGAACCCGGGAGGCGGAGGTTTCAGGGAGCCGAGATTGCACCACTGTACTCCAGCCTGGGCAATATCCTCCGTCTCAAAACAAAATAAACAAAACAAAACGTTAAACTGATTCAGTGAGGACTCTCCTGATTTCAAATGGCATTAGCGCCCACCCCACCTGGCCTTGGAGCTGACAAGTTAACCACAGGAGGCCAGCCTCAGATAGGATGAGGACACTCTCCATCTGTCTCACTTGGCATCGTGGGCTCTGCCCTGCCCTGTCAGGAGGTCCCCCGCCCCAGGCTTCCACTTACCCAGCTTGATCCCCCAGTGGGAAGAGCTCTCCTGTTCAGTAATTCAATTGGAAGGATCAGGCTCCTGGGTCCCTCACCTGGCTAGTCTGGTGGGGGCAGGGAGTGGAGGGACGGAGGGGTGGGTGACGCATGCAGCCAGGGCTGGGGCACCTGGAGTCAGGGGAGCTGAGACTAGGGAGGGGACATTCTGCAAGAGGAGATCAGGGAGGAGGTAAGGATGCTGGGCAGGCCAAACCCACAGGGTCCCCATGCAACAGGCCCTGGGAAGTCACTGGCGGGACAGAAATCCAATGGGATTGAGCTCTTCCCAGCGGAGTCCTCCCTCGCTTGTCCTGGTCTGAATCCCTGCTGTCTTTTGCCTGGATTAATGCGGTAGCGGCCACCTGGGCTCCACCTGGCAGTGTGAGTGGGCCCTGAAAACGAAGCTGGACCACATTCCCCCACTACTGTGGCTCCTCTCTCACTCGGAGTCCAGCTGGGAGTTCTGCCTAGACCACGGGCTCTGTGCCATCTGTCCCTACCGGTCTCTCGGACTCCCCCTACTGCCCCCACACAGCCAGCTGCAGCCTTCTGCTCCAACGATGCAGCTTGTTCTTGACCACCCTCCTTTAAAAAGAGATCCTCCCTGTCCCCACCCACCCCCGGCTCTGATCTTGCTTTGTGGGTTCATCTTCTCAGCACCCATCACTCCTGGACATTCTGGTATGTGTCCGTGCCCCATTCCAATCCCAGCTCCAAGAGGGCAGACACTTGGTCAACCCTCTTTGCCTCTGTATTTAAAACGTGCCTGCCACAGAATGGGTGCATAATCAACATTCTGCTGAAGGAAGAAATCAGTTCATGTCCCTCCCTGGGGATGTGCATGGAGATGAGTAGGTGGGCAGCCTACTGGCCAGAAGCTGAGCTAGCATCTTATTTACCTGGGACCCTCAGTGCCTGGCTGGGCACTCAGGAGGTGGCAAAAGTGTCTTCCGCAGGTTGCTTAAACTTGCCGGACAGGCACTTCTTTGCTTCAGGCCTGTGTGGGGGAAGCAGTGTTGCCAAATCAAGCCAGTGATAGGGTGTCAAAAGGCTGGCGGTATGGGGCCCTGGGTGTGACTCTTTCTGCACGGTGAGGGAATGCACAGGTGGGGCGGGGGATGATTGGGAGTGGGAAGTGGGGACAGAAGACAGGGACTAGCTCCCTGCCCCATCCTTTCACTTCCAAGGTGGGATCAGCTCTCCTTGGTGCCCAGCCCTCACTGTGGACTGTCCTTTCCCCTGGGGCCTGAGGGCAGGGTTCCCCAGCCACTGAGACTGCGAGATCGCTGCAGCCTTGCCCTGAGCAGCGCTGTGATCTGTGTGTTGTGTATCTGGGTGTTTGCAAGGGAGGCTGCCACCTCCTGGGGCCTGGGTACTGGGGGAAAGGAAGTGGCAGGGGAAACCATTCAGTGGCTTTCCAGGAATGAGGGAGAGACAGGAAGCCAAACTGAAAGGTGCCTGGCTGGCGTTGGGGTGAGACAGGGTTGGGCAGCCTTGTGTTCCACCCACCGTGAATGGCTTCACCCTTCCCAGGGCGGCCTTGCTCCCTCTTACGCTGGGCCTTTGTGCGGCTCTCCCCTCTCTCTGGGACACCCTTCTCTTTCCCCCTCAACCGGGTGGCTCGGGCCATCTGTTGGCCTCAGCACAGAGGTGGGCTGGACAGCTGAGGCCAGATCTGCCTGCAGGGGCCTAGCCTCTTTCCTCCCCTCTTAGTTCCTGCCTTCAACCTAGGCTGGGTCCAAAGGAGCCCTCAGAGCAGACGGGACTGGGGTCTGTGTGTCTCTGCCTCTCCCACCCCACGCTGGCCTGGCTGACCCAGGCAGGGCATGCTGGCCAGGCCTGAGCTGTGGTTCCCCCCACAGAGATGCGCTGGCAGCTGAGCGAGCAGCTGCGCTGCCTGGAGCTGCAGGGTGAGCTGCGGCGGGAGCTGCTGCAGGAACTGGCAGAGTTCATGCGGCGCCGCGCTGAGGTGGAGCTGGAGTACTCCCGGGGCCTGGAAAAGCTGGTCGAGCGCTTCTCCAGCCGTGGAGGCCGCCTGGGTAGCAGCCGGGAGCACCAAAGCTTCCGGTAGGTGATGTGCTGGCAGGGGGGCCACGGCAGGGTCTGCTTGCAGGTCTCACTGCCCCTCTACCCCCAGGAAGGAGCCGTCACTCCTGTCGCCCTTGCACTGCTGGGCAGTGCTGCTGCAGCATACGCGGCAGCAGAGCCGGGAGAGCGCGGCCCTGAGCGAGGTGCTGGCCGGGCCCCTGGCCCAGCGCCTGAGTCACATTGCGGAGGACGTGGGGCGCCTGGTCAAGAAGGTGAGGCTCTCACCCTGGGCCATGGGAAGTGTTCAAGGCTTTGGGATCAGGAGGCTGGGAGGGCACTGGAGGCCAGGTGGGGACCAGGCAGAGTGAATCTGTGTGCCTCCCAGATGAGGCTTGAGCTGGGCAGAGCTTCCAGTGCCTGGCGGGGCCTCTCTGGGCAGTGCTGTGCTCACCCCTGCCTCTGCCTCTAGAGCAGGGATCTGGAGCAGCAGCTGCAGGACGAGCTCCTGGAGGTGGTCTCAGAGCTCCAGACGGTGAGGAAAGGGCCGGGGAGGGGCCTGCCCCAATGGCCCAGGGAGAAATGCCACTCACAGCTGGGGAAGAACATCCCCAGGCCATCACATCTCCCAAGCCAGGCTCAGGGAGAAGCATGCACCTAGGAGCAAAGGCCCTCTCTCCCTAAGCACAAGGCATTAGGCTAAGTGCTCACATGGGATTGCCCAGCTCTGAGATCCAAGTTCCAGAGGGGCAGGGATGGAGGGTTAGGGGCTGGCCCGGCCGTGGCCTTCAGCAGCACTACCTTGCTTTGGGTCTCCTTGCAGGCCAAGAAGACGTACCAGGCATATCACATGGAGAGCGTGAATGCTGAGGCCAAGCTCCGGGAGGCCGAGCGGCAGGAGGAGAAGCGGGCAGGCCGGAGTGTCCCCACCACCACTGCTGCTGCCACTGAGGCAGGGCCCCTCCGCAAGAGCTCCCTCAGGAAGGGAGGGCGGCTGGTGGAGAAGGTGGGCCCGGGGGGCACCTCGGATGCAGGCCTATGGGGCATGGGCCCTGACTAGGACCTGCTGTGCTGAGGGGGAAGCCAGGGCTGGGTGCAGGGGAGGGCGGGAGTGGCAGGACGGCGCCATCAGGTTCCAGGGATTCCATACGGAAGGCTCCCAGGGCCTGAGAGAGCGGGCAAAATGGTCGCCCGGCCCTGGACAGCCCCACGCAGCCTCTGCAAGCTCTGAGCAGGGCTCCTGCAGCTCTGCTGTTCGCCAGCCATTCCATAAGGTTTGAAAGGGGCGAGAAGACACTTAAGGTGGGCGATGGGGTGACACGCACGGAGAAAGGGCGTTTGAGGTGAGCCCAGTAGAGAGAGTGGGGAGGTTGGGAAATGCCTAGATGGAGATGCCAGGCTGTGCGGGGCTGAGAGTGATGGTCTCTGGGACTCTGGGAGCAGAGGAGGGAGTCGGGCATCTCCGGTGTTCTTAGGGGAAATGACAGAGTTTGGCTGTGTTGGGGGAAGGTCTCCCTGGTTGCTGTGGTTAAAGTGCCAACTTTAGCCGGGCACAGTGGCTCACACCTGTAATCCCAGCACTTTGGGAGGCCGAGGTGAGTGGATCACCTGAGGTCATGAGTTCAAGACCAACTTGGCAACATGGTGAAACCCTGTCTCTACTAAAAATACAAAAATTAGCCGGGCATGATGGCGGGTGCCTGTAATCCCAGCTACTCGGGAGGCTGAGGCTGGAGAATAACTTGAACACTGGAGGCGGAGGTTGCAGTGATCTAAGATTGTGCCACTGTACTCCAGCCTGGGCGACAGAGTGAAACTCTGTCTCAAAAAAAAAAAAAAAAAAAAAAAAAAAAAAATAGAGTGCCAGCTTTAGAACCCAGTTGCCACCAGGTTCTGTCTCATGGCCCTCGATGATCTATCCCTACCCCTTGCGGTGCTCGCTCCCCCTCAGCCCTGGCCCCTGCAGAGGCCTGTGGCCACTTCCAGCTGTGCACCTGTGTGCTAGCTCCAAGCTGGGTTTCTCGTACACCCTCCATGGTGGGGTGCCACGCGCGCACTTTCCACTCATCAGGTATCTGTGAATAGTTCTGTGTCACCCCCCACCTCTGTGGGGAATGTTGTGGCTCGAACCAAGGCAAGTGGCGGAAGCACAGCAGGCAGCGCCAGCACTGGCAGGTGAACAGCCGGGGAGTCGAGTCACCTCCTGGCATTGGGCTGTGGTGTGGGGAAGGCAGCAGGACTTCTGGGCTTGACCAGTTCCGGTGTAGTTGTCCACAGCGAGAGGGGTGGCGATGGGCATTACATGAAAGGCCAGAGATAGGGGCTGGCCACGTGCGTGACCCTGGCACACTTGCATTGTCTTGAGTAGCGGCAGGCCAAGTTCATGGAGCACAAACTCAAGTGCACAAAGGCGCGCAACGAGTACCTGCTTAGCCTGGCCAGCGTCAACGCCGCTGTCAGTAACTACTACCTGCATGACGTCTTGGACCTCATGGATGTGAGTCCTTGGTGGGCAGGTGGGAAAAGGTGCCTGGTGCCCCGGGGCTGGGAAATTACAGCTCCAGGACCCACCCGAGCGTCTGCTTGTTTCCTCCTCAGTGCTGCGACACAGGGTTCCACCTGGCCCTGGGGCAGGTGCTCCGAAGCTACATGGCTGCTGAGAGCCGCACCCAAGCCTCCCAAGTGCAGGGCCTGGGCAGCCTGGAAGAAGCCGTGGAGGCCCTGGATCCTTCAGGGGACAAGGCCAAGGTTCTCGAGGTGCATGCTACCATCTTCTGTCCCCCGCTGCGCTTTGACTACCACCCCCATGATGGGGATGAGGTGAGGGTCACCCCCTGCTGGGCTCGGCATTCTCTGGCCTTCACTGTACTGGCGGGCAGTGGAGTGGCGTGACCCACGCTTTGCTCAGGAATCCAAGTTCTCCATGGTCTCAGGCAGTGCAGCAGCTAGAGAACTGTCCCACTTCCATTTGCAGCCTCACTCCAAGGGTGCACCGCCACAATGGCCAAGGAGGGCAGGACACTAACTGTTCAAACCATGCAGCAGGCAGCCATGTAGCTGCCCATACATTGTTCTGGGCTGGTTTCTCTGTGTTTTTAAATTTCGTGACACAAACTTGGGAGGAAATGAAGCACACACACAGTAAGATGGAATCGGACTTCTTTATTCTTCTTCTTCGAGCTAGTTTTTCCTGCAGCAGTTTATCCTGATGGGCATTGGCAATGACCTGGGATTACACTGGGCCCCTTGTGGGCCGACTTGGAACTTTACAAAGAGTCCAACATCACCAGGGCTTCTGATGGCACACAGCTACTCCCTAACCTACCCCTCCTGTTCCCAGCTTCCACCCCCAGAAACAGCCACCCACCTCTCAGCATCAAGCAGCCATTTTCCACTGGCCAATGACGACTAGCATCTCTCACAGCCACCACACGCTTCCCTGCATCTTGTTCTCCCAGTGGGTTTATTCCAGAATTTTTGGCTAAATTAACATTCAATGTTTCAATCACCATGACAACAGGTACTGTTGGCAGCTGAGCCATGTACTGTATCAGGATCACATGTCCTTCCTTGGACAATTTTTCCTTTTCTTCTGAAATTTATAACTCCCTCGCCTCAGGAATGCTGCTTGCTAGAACATACCCATTGCTAGGAGTTGATCGTTACCTCGTCCCAGCACTGTCCTCCACACCAGGCACCCTGTGGGGTCCACCTTCTCCTCTGTGCCCTCCCTCAGCGCCCCAGAGCCCTCCAGTCTGGACTGCTTCGCTTCTGCCCAGTGCCCTGTTTCTGGATTCCACGGCAGCAGCTTTCTTGGTTTGATACCCTTGTTTTCGTGGACGCCTTCACCAAGGGTTTCCTGACTTAGCACATCTGAAAATGTCTGTATTCTTTGTTTTGTTTTGTTTTTGAGATAGGGTCTCACTCTGTCCCCCCGGCTGGAGTGCAGTGGTGTGATGTGATCTCAGCTCACTGCAGATGCAACCTTCTGGTCCTCTCACCTCAGCTTCCCAAGTAGCTAGGACTACAGGCTTGCACTACCACGCCAGGCTAATTTTTCTATATTTTATAGCGAGGGAGTTTCACTATGTTGCCCAGGTTGGTCTCAAACTCCTGGGCTCAAAGAATTGGCCTGCTTCAGCCTCCCAAAGTGCTGGGATTACAGGTGTGCCACGTGCCCGGCCAACCCTTTATTCTTATTTCATGAATACAGTACTTCTTGAATCTTTCTGAAACTTTTATTTATTTTTTTTTTTTGAGAGGCAGTTTCCCTCTTGTTGCCCAGGCTGGAGTGCAGTGGCACGATCTTGGCCCACTGCAACCTTCACCTCCTAGGTTCAAGTGATTCTCCTGCCTCAGCCTCCCAATTAGCTGGAATTACAGGTACCAGATACCACACCTGGCTAATTTTTTAATTTTTTAAATTAAATAAAAAAAATTTTTTTGAGACAGAGTCTTTCTCTGACACCCAGGCTACAGTGCTGTGGCGCAATCTCGGCTCACTGCAACCTCTGCCTCCCAGGTTCAAGCAATTCTCCTGCCTCAGCCTCCCAAGTAGCTGGGACTACAGGTGTGCACCACCACGCCTGGCTGATTTTTGTATTTTTAGTAGAGACGGGGTTTCACTATGTTGGCCAGGCTCGTCTCAAACTCCTGATCTCAGGTGATCCGCCTGCCTCAGCCTCACAAAGTGCTGGGATTACAGGCGTGGGCCACCATGCCCGACCCTTTTATTTTTATTTTTTAGTAGAGACAGGGTTTCACCATGTTGGCCAGGCTTGTCTCGAACTCCTGACTTCAGGTGATCTGCTTGCCTCAGCCTCCCAAAGTGCTGGGATTACAGGTGTGAGCCACCATGCCCCGCCTGAAATGTTTTTTGTTTTCTCCTGTTCCTGCATCTGCTCTATTTTCTTGCTTTTGTCCCTGAGTCCAAAATCCCTGCTATATCCTTTCCAGAGAGCAAATCGTTAGTTTTCTGCTGATCGTGTCTGTTTGGTGATTCTTGGCCGTCAGTTCATATTTAAGAAGAGGCCTGAACACATACCCCACAAATGTGGATGTCTGTGGTGCTTCCTCCTGGCCTAGCCAGTTTCCCCAGTAGAAACTCTTCTGACCCTGTCTAGGGAGGAGAGGGGGCGAGAGGGCTGGGAGCTCACTCTGCTGTGTGGATTTCCTTGGAACTACCTGGTTTCAGTTCCACACCCTCCAGCCAAAGCCTAACAGGAACAGTCCTGTAATCTCCATTGCTAGAGGGAACCCTGCTCCGTGGGGAAGCTGGGGCCTCTCGGTGAGAGGGTGGTGGAAGGGTGGTAGAGGACTTGGGCTTGCCTTAAGGGATCTGCGGGGAGGGCCCAGGTAAGTGGGGCTTGGTCCTGGATTAAATGCCTTCTGGAAGCAGAGTAATTGTATGATGTATGATTGGATGTCTTGATTAATCTTATCTAGAAGGAGACAGTGATGGAAGCTGAAGTGATGCGAGGAAGTCATAGTCACTTACATTAACCAGGATGGAGGGATGGTTTTGTGGCTTGGAAGAAGTTCTTGATTTTGTCTTCACTCAGACGTGATCGCAGAGTGGTCTTGTTTCTGTCTTCGCCCATCAAGGTCACACAGTGGCCTTGCCTGATGTTGATGCTCTGGGACATTTCCGGTGTTCAGCAGGACAGCACTGAGACTGGGCTGATAGGACCCTGAGTCCCAAATCCCTGCTATATCCTTTCCAGAGAGCAAATCGTTAGTTTTCTACTGATCGTGTGCGTTTAAGGGAGGGATCAAATTTCAATGTTCCCTAGGGTATGGATAGATTTATTTTTTCTCTAGAGAGAGGGTCTGGCTCTGTTGTACAGGCTGGAGTGCAGTAGTGTGATCATAGCTCACTGCAGCCTCCAACTCCTGGGCTCAAGTCATCCTCCTGCCTGAGACTCCCGAGTAGCTGGGACTATAGGTGCATACCACCATGTGTGGCTAAGATTTGTACTTTAAAAACAATTATTTTATTTTTAAATTTTAATCTATTTATTTATTTATTTTGAGACCGGGTTATGAGACGGGCTAATTTTTGTATTTTTGGTAGAGTCAGGATTTTACCATATTGTCAAGGCTGGTCTCGAACTCCTGGGCTCAAGTGATCCACCTGCCTCAGCCTCCCAAAGTGCTGGGATTGCGGGTGTGAGCTAGTCCAGCCTAGATGAACTTTTAAAAAAATGTGTGGCAAAATACACATAGCATAAAACATACCACATTCACCATTTTTAAGTGTGCGGCCCAGAGGCAGAAGCACATTCACGGTGCTGTGCAGCCATCACCACCATTCAGCCGCAGAACTTGTTCATCTTCCCAAACTGAAGCTCTGGCCCGTTCAACCCCAACTCCCTACCCCCCAGCCCCTGGCACCCACCCTTCCACTGTCCGTCTACAGAGTTCACGGCTCTCATTTGAGGCCCCTCACAGGAGTGGAATCCTATAGTGCGGGCCTTTCTGTGACTGGCTCCTTTCACTGAGTCCCATGTCCTCAAGGGTCAGCCATGTCGGAGCCCATCTCAAAATGGCCGTACTTTCTTCTCCATGACTTGCACCTTCCTGCAGTCCTGTAAGGCGGGGCTTGGTGGAGATGGAGAGCAGGGCAAGTGTTTAGCCACAGATGAGTCCTCACTTTCAATTTTAACTGTAATGTCAACTTTCTGGATGTTTACATGCTTAAAAGAGTAATTCCTTCCTTCATAAAGTATTGGCTCCCACTCTGCCCATGACGCAAGCTGCTCTCATCTTGCCACACGGAAATTTATGTCTGCCCAGTTAGAGTGAGCAGTTTTTCTGTCTACTCCTTTCCCTAGAAGAAGTGGGGCTGGGCCCTCCCTGTTCTGTCTCAGACCTCAGTCTTCCTTACCATTCTATTCTATTTTATTTTATTTTGAGATGGAGTCTCGCTCTGTCACCCAGGCTGGAGTGCAATGGCGCCATCTCGGCTCACTGCAACCTCTGCCTCCCAGGTTCAAACGATTCTCCTGCCTCAGCCTCCCAAGTAGTACAGGCACGCGCCACCATGCCTGGCTAATTTTTGTTTGGTTTTTTTTTTTTTTTTTTTTTTTTTTTTTGAGACGGAGTCTCACTCTGTCGCCCAGGCTGGAGTGCAGTGGCCGGATCTCAGCTCACTGCAAGCTCCGCCTTCCGGGTTTACGCCATTCTCCTGCCTCAGCCTCCCGAGTAGCTGGGACTACAGGCGCCCGCCACCTCGCCTGGCTAGTTTTTTTGTATTTTTAGTAGAGACGGGGTTTCACCATGTTAGCCAGGATGGTCTCGATCTCCTGACCTTGTGATCCGCCCGTCTCGGCCTCCCAAAGTGCTGGGATTACAGGCTTGAGCCACCGCGCCCGGCCTATTTTTGTATTTTTTTTTAATAGAGACGGGGTTTCACCATGCTGGTCATGCTGGTCTTGAACTCCTGACCTTGTGATCTGCCTGCCTCGGCCTCCCAAAGTGCTGGGACTACAGATGCACACCACCATGCCCAGTTAATTTTTTGTATATTTAGCGGATACAGGGTTTCACTAAGTTGGCCAGGCTAGTCTCGAACTCCTGACCTCAGATAATCCATCCGCCTCAGCCTTCCAAAGTGCTAGGATTACAGGCGTGTGCCACTGCGCTGGGCCACCATTCTGTTTTAAATAAGAGTTTTATTAAGGTATGATTCATATACCATAAAATTCACCGTTGTAAAGTGTACAGTTCAGTGGTTTTTAGTATATTTAGAGTTGTGCAGCCATCACCATCTAATTCCAGAACATTTTTGTCACCCCCTAAAGGAGCCATTAGCCACTACTGCTCCCTGTTCCCCTCTCCAGCCCCTGGCACCCACTCCTCTGCTTCCTGTCTCTATGAATTTGCCTGGCTGAACACTTTACATAAGTGGATTCATTCCTTCTCCTGGCTGAATCCTCTTCCATTCTGTGGGTAGACTGCACTGAGTTTAGCCATCCGTCTGTTGGATGAGTGGTGCCGCTATGAACCTCTGTGGACAAGTCTTAGTTTGGACACATGTGTTCACTTCTGCCATTCTTCAGCTGAGCGTCTGGGCTGGTGGTCCTGTGTCTGGCCGCCAGGCCACAAAAGGGTGCTTGCTTCCCTTATGCCCCGGGAATCTTGGCACCTACTGCCCAAGCGCAGCCCTCAGCCCCCTGGCCGCCACCCTCTGCAGGTGGCTGAGATCTGCGTTGAAATGGAGCTGCAGGACGAGATTCTGCCCAGAGCCCAGAACATCCAGAGCCGCCTGGACCGACAGACCATCGAGACGGAGGAGGTCTGGGCAGCCCACTGGGGGTTAGAGGGAGACAGGGACCTGGAGCCTGTATAGCCTGCTGTTGGAAGTGGCTGCCCTGCCTGCCCGCCTCCCTCTGGTCCCTTCCTTCTGACTTGGACTTCCTGTCTCCATCCCTGTCCCCCATCTCTTACCACCCTGTGCGGTCTCCTCTGCAGGTGAACAAGACACTGAAGGCGACACTGCAGGCCCTGCTGGAGGTGGTGGCCTCGGATGACGGGGATGTGCTCGACTCCTTCCAGACCAGCCCCTCCACCGAGTCCCTCAAGTCCACCAGCTCAGACCCAGGCAGCCGGCAGGCAGGCCGGAGGCGTGGCCAGCAGCAGGAGACCGAAACCTTCTACCTCACGGTGGGGAGGGCTGGGCTGGTGGGTGGGACCCGTGGGGGCGTGGCTGGGGCAGAGGGAGGGGCTCAAGCCAGGGCTAACACTTTGGGCTCTTCTTGGGGCTGCCTAGAAGCTCCAGGAGTATCTGAGTGGACGGAGCATCCTCGCCAAGTTGCAGGCCAAGCACGAGAAGCTGCAGGAGGCCCTTCAGCGAGGTGGGCCCAGGACCCTATGTAGCCCACGGTCCTCCCCTCCTGCCTGTCCTTGGCCATTATCCACACCTTTCTCTCTGGGATGCATTGAAGACCCTTGGCCTGAGAGGCAGACCAATGTTCTCCCACCCCACAGGTGACAAGGAGGAGCGGGAGATGTCTTGGTGAGTCCTTCATGAGGGGCTGGTGTGTTCTGAGAAGCTGGGGCCCTGCGATGGTCCCCCATCTCTTCTCTCCGTCAGGCCCAGCTCAGCTGCCCAATTCCCTGAGCCTCAATATCCCAGTTTTCACACTGGATTGTGGAATAACTTCAGAGAATTAGAGGCCTACTTGGCTGGGCTGGTGGGTGGGGCACCCTATTCTCCATGCCCGGCCCCCTCAGAGCCAGTTCCCGTTCACCGCAGGACCCAGTACACACAGAGAAAATTCCAGAAGAGCCGCCACCCCTGCCCCAGCTCCCAGTATAACCAGAGACTCTTTGGGGGAGACATGGAGAAGTTTATCCAGGTACTTGCTTTGCCCCACATGCCAGCCCACCTGTACATGCTGGTCTTTCTTCAGCCTTGGGTCACCTCAGTGACCAGAGCATCTGCCTGATCCCAGGGTCCTCCACTCTCAGTCATCAACTGTCCCTTTCTGGGTGGGCCTCTTCCAGGCCGCTGTTGGGCTCCCCTGTAGCCTCTGCTGATTAAAGGGAGCATCCTTAACTAGTAATGGGAATGTATAGAAAACCTGGGGCAGCAGCATTTTTAGGTGCGAGATATTGAGAGCTTCTCCCCTGCAACTTCTGGCCAGCGTGGTACTGGGGGTCCTGGACAGTGAAATAAGGGGAAGCAAGAAAGATCAGAAAACTAATACTGAGATCAGAAAGTATCAGAGGGTGCCAGGCACGGTGGCTCACGCCTGTGATCCCGGCTCTTTGGGAGGCTGAGGTGGGCAGATCACTTCAGCCCAGGTGTTCAAGACCAGCCTGGGCAACAGGGTGAAACCACGTCTCTACTAAAAATACAAAAATTAGCCGGGCATGGCGGTACGTGCCTGTAATCCGAGGCGGGGGGGTGGGGGGAGGGAGGGAGGAAGGAAAAAAAAAAAAAAAGGAAAGACAGAAACAAAGAAAGAAATACAGAGAAATAAAAGGAAAGAAAGAGAGAAAAAAGAAAAAAGTAAAGAAAGCATCAGAGGGGGCCAGGCATGGAGAATACCAGAAGATCAGAACTGATACCATCATTTTCAGTGATGTGGTTATGTGTGTAGAACATTCAAAAATCAACAGATTCTTTAAATGAACACTTTGAGTTTCTTTCTTTTTTATTTTATTTTTTTTTATTTGTTGAGACAGGGTCTTGTGCTGTTGACCAGGCTGAAGTGCAGTGGTCACGATCTCAGCTCACTGCAGCCTTCACCTCCTACCTGTTGGGGTTCAAGCGATTCTCATGCCTCAGCCTCCCAAGTAGCTGGGACTACAGGTGTGCACCACCACACCTGGTTAATTTTTATATTTTTAGAAGAGGTGAGGTTTCACCATGTGGGTCAGGTTGGTCTTGAACTTCTGACCTCAGGTGATCCTCCCGCCTCAGTCTCCCAAAGGGCTAGGATTACAGGCGTGAGCCACCACACCCAGCTTGAGTTTCTAAATGTTACTTGATTCAAGGTCGGTGTACAGAATTCAATTGCATTTTTATATTCCAGCAACAATTTGCAAATAAAATGTAAGGCACTGCCTAAAACCTCATCAAAGATATCAGACACGTAAGAGTGGATCTAACAAACAGTGTGCTAGGCCTCTATGCCGACAACGATGATGTGCTCTTGAGAGAAAATAAAAGCACTCAGCCTGGTGCGGTGGCTCATGCCTGTAATCCCACCGTTTGGGGAGATTGAGGCAGGAGTATCACTTGAGCCCAGGAAGTCGAGGCTGCAGTGAGCCGAGATCATGCCACTGCACTTCAGCCTGGGTGACAGAGTGAGACCTTGTCTCACAGAAAAAAAAGCAATTGAATGACAACACAGGGCATGCTGTGTCCATGGTGAAGTAAACACCCTCTGTCCCCAGTGCTCAGGCCAGCCTGTGCCCCTGGTGGTGGAGAGCTGCATTCGCTTCATTAACCTCAACGGTAAGCAGGACCCAGCCCCTCCCGCTGTCCTGGCACCCAGCACCCAGCTCCCAGCACCTGGCATGGGAGGCCATCCTGGAGGGGCTGGGGAAGATGCTCAGTGCCCACCAGCTCGTTGTCCTCCCACAGGCCTGCAGCACGAAGGCATCTTCCGGGTGTCGGGTGCCCAGCTCCGGGTCTCAGAGATCCGTGATGCCTTCGAGAGAGGTGGGGACGGGCAGGGCGGGCAGGGCTGGGGGCTCGGGCAGACGTTACCAGCTTCCTCCCCCCACTGCACCACTCGCCTGTCTGCAGGGGAGGACCCACTGGTGGAGGGCTGCACTGCCCACGATCTGGACTCGGTGGCCGGGGTGCTGAAGCTCTACTTCCGGAGCCTGGAGCCCCCACTCTTCCCCCCAGACCTGTTCAGCGAGCTGCTGGCTTCTTCGGGTGAGGCCGGGGCCTGAGGCCAGTGGGGGTAGGGCACTTGCTAGGGCAGCCCCACTCACTCGGCTCTCTCTGGGCGGTTTTGGCCACAGAGCTGGAGGCCACGGCAGAGAGGGTGGAGCACGTGAGCCGCCTGCTATGGCGGCTGCCCGCGCCAGTGCTGGTGGTTCTGCGCTACCTCTTCAACTTCCTCAACCAGTGAGTGCTGTGGGGCGAGTGCTGGGGTGGGGGCCAGGGTCGAGGGGATAAGGGGACTCGGGGTGCGGGCTCTCTGCTTGTGATGTGTGTGTCCCCCCAGCCTGGCCCAGTACAGCGATGAGAACATGATGGACCCCTACAACCTGGCCGTGTGCTTTGGGCCCACGCTGCTACCGGTGCCCGCTGGGCAGGACCCGGTGGCGCTGCAGGGCCGGGTGAACCAGCTGGTGCAGACGCTCATACTGCAGCCAGATCGGGTCTTCCCGCCCCTGACCTCACTGCCTGGCCCCGTCTACGAGAAGTGCATGGCACCGCCTTCCGCCAGCTGCCTGGGGTACACCCTTGGTGCTGCAGAGGGGATGGGGGGTCCACTGGAGAAGAGCCCCCCTCATCCACCTTGCTCTGCCCTGAACCTCAGGGATGCCCAGCTGGAGAGCCTGGGGGCGGACAACGAGCCGGAGCTGGAAGCTGAGATGCTTGCCCAGGAGGATGGTGAGGGCGATGGGCAGAGAGCCCCACCCTGTCCCTGCCCTAGTGTCCACACCCGCCCCCCCCACCCACAGCTTGGACCCCCTCTCCTCCCCAGACCTGGAGGGGGTTGTGGAGGCTGTGGCCTGCTTTGCCTACACGGGCCGAACGGCCCAGGAGCTGAGCTTCCGGCGGGGGGACGTACTGCGGCTGCACGAGAGGGCCTCGAGCGACTGGTGGCGGGGGGAGCACAATGGTGTGCGGGGCCTCATCCCCCACAAGTATATCACACTGCCTGAGGGGTAAGTGAGCTGCGCTCTCAGGCCCCAGGGTTCCTGGAGTCTCCGCACCTCCCCTTCATCCAGCCCTCCCCTGACCCCAAGTTAGATTCTGAAGGTCTGGGCTAGGCCAGAGAATGGAGCCTGTCTGACTACTTCTGACTGGCACGGAGGCTGGAGGCTGCTGGCCCTGGACCCTGTGCAGGGAAGGAGCACTCAAAACAGGCTGGTGCTTCCCACCACAGGGCAGAGAAGCAGGTGGTGGGCGCAGGGCCGCAGACTGCAGGGGAGTCTGGGAGCAGTCCTGAGGGCCTCCTGGCATCAGAGCTGGTTCACCGGTGAGCAAGAAGACAGGGCTTGGGGGGCCCACACATGTGCCGTTCTAGGCCAGAGGGGACTGGGGTCAGGCTTTGGCCCCGTGGGAGTGGGAGGAGTTGGCAGATGAGGACGTGACAGAGTGACCCAGCTTGTGACAGGGAAAGAGGCTCTAGAGGAGCTTGGGGACCACTGGGCCAGCCTCCTTTCCTTGGCCACACCGCAGGATGGGAGGAGCCACTGCCCAGTTAGCTCAGGGACTTCCCAGAGCCCCCACCAGGCTCCCTGTCTGTCCTGCAGGCCAGAGCCATGCATCTCACCCGAGGCCGTGGGACTCTCTGGACATAGACGACGCTGCTTGGTCCCAGCCTCCCCGGAGCAACACGTGGAGGTGGATAAGGTGAGAGTGGGTATGTGGCAGGTGAGGGACATCTGTCCTGGGGGGATCTTTGCCTTCCCTTGGGAGCCAAACTCCTCCCTCCTTGAGGTTCCAGTCCTTGCCCTCCCTGGCCTTAGCTAAGGGGAACCTGCCGCCAGACGCACAGGCCCAAGGCAGACCCCATGGAGGGTAGGAAGGCAAAGATGTAAGGGCGAGTGGGGATGGAGAGGGATGGCCACAGAGGCAGGGATGAGAGGGACAGAAGACACCTGGCCTGGCTAGAGCCTGGGGCTTGCACGTTGGAATTCACGTTTGGCTTCAGAGCAGGGAGTGGCAGGGCTGAGTTAAGGCTGTTTACCTGGTAGAGGCAAGGGACTCCAGGGCAGATTTCAAGGCTGGCATCTGTAGCTGGGCTAGGTAACAGGCGGTGCCATGGCAGGCGCCTGGCATGCCAGGGAGGATGAAAGGGACAGATGGCAGGGAGGCAGGAGGGGGTGGCTGGTTGGGGATTGGAGTGGGGCAGCAGTGGCTCTCGAAGGAGCAGAGCGCAGGCTCAAGATGTGGCTCTGGCAAGCGCACGACCTGGGGAGCCCTGCTCCATGCTCTGTGCCATGGGACCTGTGAACACTGTTGGACTGACGTGGAAGCCCAGGGAAAGTTGCTAAGCCCAAGGAGGAGAGACCCGAGAAGATGTGGGTGTCCCAGGTGTGGCCAAGCCCCCCGGCTTAGGGAGCCCAGGGAGGGTTGGGTAGACACGCAGGAGCAGGAGCGGGAGCCAGGGACAGAGCAGCCAGGAGATGCCATGGGAGGACACTGACCTGGGAGTTCCCTGCATGCTGGCGGTCCCTGAGGCCACGGGCAGGGGGACTGTGATCTCTGCCAAGGAAAGAGTGGGGGCGAGAAGAGAGGGGTCCCCACTTTCGGGCTAAACCAAGGAATTGCTGTCCTCAGAGGAGACTGTGACAGAGACACCAGAAGGGGCAGGCGGGATGCCAGGTGCGAAGTGGGGGAGAGCGACCTGGAGGCTGAGGGACTGGGATGTTGTCTGGGGACTTGCTTTGGGAGTGGGAGGAACTCAGGTGGGTCTTGGGCAGGGTCAGTCGGGGGAGCTCACTGGTCACCCTCCCTTTCTTTCCCCTCCACTAGGCCGTGGCACAGAACATGGACTCTGTGTTTAAGGAGCTCTTGGGAAAGACCTCTGTCCGCCAGGGCCTCGGGCCAGCATCTGCCACCTCTCCCAGCCCTGGGCCCCGAAGCCCAAAGGCACCGGCCGGCAGCCGCCTGGGCAAAAACAAAGGCTTCTCCCGGGGCCCTGGGGCCCCAGCCTCACCCTCAGCATCCCACCCCCAGGGCCTGGACACAACCCCCAAGCCACACTGAGGTGCTGCTGCTGGAGCTGTGTGCCCCAGGCGGCTACCCCCTGGACCGGCCACTCTCCCCAGCCCTCTTGCTTCTCTCCAACCCTGTCCAGCAAGTTCAGGGTGCCTGCACTTCACCCTGTGCAGAGGTGGGATGGGGCCGCACATGCAGGGATGCCCACTCCACAGCCTGCCTGCCTCTCAGCCCTGGCCCAGACCCCTTTTGGAGGCTGGGGAAAGCCCTCTTCTGCGACTTTGTGGAGGGCTGGTCAGTGGCTGCTGGGTGGCAGGTGCCCTTGCTCAGATGCCTGGCAGGGCTGGGTGGTGATTCATAAAGACCTCGTGTTGATTCCCTGATGGGAGCCAGCTCTCTGTCTCAGGGGTGGGCGGGTGGGTGCTGGAGGCCAGAACAGCTTCCCTGGGGGTCCTGCAGCTTTGAAGACTTGGCCGCCTGCACCATGGGTTCCAGAGCTGTGCACATTACTGTGGGTATGTGTGTGGGGGTCTGTGTATGGCTGTGTGCTGCCTCCACACCCACTGTTACCCTGATCCAAAGAGACCCCTTGCCATGTGGAAAATGAGCTGAGGTGCAACTTTTATTAGGGAGAGAATGAGGAGAGATGGAGGAAAGGAGGGATTAGAAAGGCAGAGACAGGAAGGTCCCCTGGCCCCAGCCCGGTCCTTCCTTTTCGGGCCCCTGGGACCGCTGTCTCACCTGGGGGCACCTGCTCCCTCTTTCCTGCCACCCCCGGGCCCCTCAGCCCTCTGCTGCAGCTCCTCCCACACCCAGCACGGTGAGCTGACCTGAGGGGCCCCCACAGTCTTGGGGCCTGAAGCTCTCCTCATACAGCTGGGGATGTGGAGACCCAGGCAGGGGCTGCGGCTTGTCCAGGGACACACAGTTTCCCAGCCTCGGGGCCACAGGATCTGGCCAATTCTCCATGGGTCCCCTTCCCAGTGGCCCCCAGGACCAGCCCCAGGAAGGCAACTGAGCTTCTCAAAGCCTCTGGAGGCAAGACACCCAATAGCTCCTTAGGATGAAGCGTCCTTGGCCAGGGAGGAGCTGGCGGTGGTGCAGGACTCATCTTGGGGACCCAGGCTGGGTGGGGTGCGCCCCCGGGCACAGCAGAGCAAGCTTCGCAGCTCTGAGGAGACGCTGCTGCTGAAAGATGCATAGATCCAGGGGTTGGTACAGCTGTTGAGGCTGGCCAGCAACATGAGCAGCACGAAGGGCGCCCCTGTGAAGGTGGTGGGATCCACGTTGGGCTCAGGATGGCTGGTGGTGCACCGGGGCACGCCGCCAAGCCCGAGTGGCCCCCGACAGCCCTAGCCATGGCTATACCCACCTTCCAGAGGTGCCTCCGGGTCCCACGCGGCCCACAGCTGCACCAGGAAGAAGGGTGCCCAGCACAGCACATAGACGACCACAATCACCAGCGTCATCCTCACAGTCTTGGCCACAGCTGCTGACACGCGGGCTCCCTCACTGGGGTTGCCTGTCCGGCGTCCCCTGCGGCGCCCCCCAGGCCTCTCTGACGGCCCTGGCACCAGACTGGTGTGAATCTCCCGGAAGATGAGCACCTGGCAGGCAGCGATACCCAGGGTAGGTGCCACAAACACCATCAGGGCGATCCAGGTGACGTAGGTGCGACGGCCCCAGGGCTCCACAAAGCTGGCCCAGCAGTCGGTGACCCCGCTGCCACCTCCCACATTGCGCTGGGCAAAGATGAAGAGCTGGGGCAGGCTGAGAAGGAGCGAGAAGGCCCAAGCCACCAGCACTGGCCGGTTCCAGTGAGCCCCACCTCCATGGCGATACGCCAGCATGGGACGGCAGATGGCGCGGTGGCGGTCCAGCGTCATGGCCAGGATCATGTAGGAGGAGGCATACATGCCCACCATCTGCAGATACTTCACAGCCCGACACAGGGCATCCGGCCCACGGAAGCGGTCGGTGGCCTTCCAGGCCAGCTGGGGCAGCACTTGGAACAGAGCCACGGCCAGGTCAGCCAGGCACAAGTGGCCAATGAAGACGTGTATGGGTGCCCAGTGGCCCCGCCGGCCCCGCCGAGCTAGGGCCGCCAGCACCAGGCCATTGCTCAGGGCCACGGCCACAAAGACTATGGAGAGCAGCGCCAGCTCCGCCTGGGCTAGCAGCGGGTCCCGGGTGTCCGGCGGCCTCTCCTGGCTGCTGTTGCTGGGCAGAGAGAGGTGCCCAAGCACAGCTGGGCAGGGGTGAGGAAGAAGGCCCGGTTAGAGAGGGTGTTGTGCATGGGGACTCAGGCCTGCCTCCCGTGCCCCCATCTGGACACCCTCTTCCTGGCTCCTAGCAGAGGGGACTCCAAGAAAGCCATGTTATGGGGGATACACACCCTAGGCTCATGCAGTCCATAGGGAAGGGCAGCCCCAGCCCCAGCCCCAGCCCTGGCAGGGAAGTGGGGCTATGCCCCCCTCCCCGCTCGTTGGCAGCCTGGAAAGGTGCATCCAGAGGTGAGGGTGAAGGAGGTCTTTAGAAAGAGGGGCTTCCCTAAATCGTCAAGGCCATTCTGCCCACTGGGCTCATGGGGGGGGCAAGCCTTACCGGAAGTGGTGAACGTCCTGAGCATGGTGGGGCCAGGACAGGTGTTCTGAGGGCCTGGAGGAGATGGGCAGACTCAGCCTCTGCCCGAGGGGCCAGCCCAATGACCCAGGTCTCTGAACTGGAGCCCTTACAGAGATGCTAGCACAGTGGGTGCCTGTTCGCGTGTGTGCACGTGTGCGGTGGGAGTATGGCCAGTCCTGGGCAGGGAAAATTGAGAGGGACGGTCAGACAGATGGATGCACAGAACCCAGGATCCCCCAGGCAGCCCATGAGTCCCAGGTTTGGAAGTGGGCGCCCCAGGCAGACACACAGAACTCCGCTGCCCCAACCGAGGCCGAGAGAGGCCATCCGAGGGCTGGGGACTGGGCACGGGGGCGGGCCTGTGCAGCCCCTTACCTGGCTGGGCTCCTGGGCAGCTGGGTGGTAGCGTAAAGGTGGCTGGGTGCTCAGATCTGCTCTCCATCGGCCGCCCCGCCCTGGCCCAGCCCAGCCTCTGGGAGTGACCTGGCCAGGAGGGGACTTCCTCCCCCTCCCCCTTTCCCCCAGGCCTCCCCTGGCCTCCCGTTTCCTTTCCTTTCCCCAGGGCCTCCCTGGTCCTGGCCCAGGACTCCCTCCTCCCACTGCTATAGCCTCCACGCCCACCCTCACCCTACCACACTCCCCTGGTTGGATTGTCTGGGCTGGCAGTGCTCTGGGAGGTCACTTAGTTCAGCATTCCCATTTTATAAGTCGGGAAACTGAGGCCAGAGAGCAGTGGGTCTGGTCCAGGACTGCGCTGCTTTTTTGTGGGAGCTTCACGCCCCCTTCCCAAGTTGGGGTCCTCCTGCTCCTCGCTGGGCCCAGGCAAGGAAGGGGTGAAAACACTTTCGCTGGGCCCCTCCCAGGCCCACGCAGGCCCCTCCTCCTCCTCAATTAGGGCCCAGTTGGCCGGAGGTGAAGGACAGGAAAGGGAGGAGTGGGGCAGGGGCCAAGTCAGGCTTCATGAACCCCTGTGAGATCCAGGGACACCCCCACCCTCTTCCTCCTGCCGCACCTGTCCCAGGAAGAGGGGCTGGGGATCTCCATGTGCTCAAGGGCTCCCTCCCACCACACATGCCCTCACATACATGATACAGCCACACAGCCACAAACACATGACACAGAGACGCTTGCTCATGTTCCTGAACATGCCATGAGTGTGGATGCACCTTCCCTGTACCTGGGCCCTTCTCCTCCCTCCCCCAACACCTCTCTCCTTCCCCTGCCCCCACACCCTCTCCAGCCCTCATCCCAGTCGTTCTCTTTCCACTCCCCCCCGCACCCAGGCCTGGCTTAGCTCAGCCGAGGCCAGCCCAGCCCAGCCCAGCCCAAGGCAGCTGCTTTCTTCCTGTTTATCTGTCTTCTCTGTTGCCCTGTGAAGCCAGAGACCAAAACAGCCTCACAGACCGGGCCCAAGTCCAGTCCGTGGCCAAGGCCTCCTCTTCCTGCCCAGAGAGCCTGGCAGCACCCTGGCGCCTCCCGGCCCTGTTAGGGTGGTGGGAACACAGGGTGGGCATTTTCCAGAGACAGTGCACACACCACACCGCATACATACATGTACACAGTCACACCACACACATACATGCACCCACCACACACCCATATGCCACACCACACACACACCACACCATGCACACACTCGTACACACCACACATGCACACACCACACAGTCCCATACGCCACACACCCACACATGCACCAACCACACAACCATACACACCACACACATGCACGCACCTGCACACCACACCACACCACATACACATGCACAGCCAACACCACACACCCACATGCATGCACACACCCGCAGCACACACAAGTGCACATCACACCCCGCAGCACACACACGCATCTTTACCATGTTTTTGCAGAGCGCCTTGGGGGCAGGCTGCAGAGTGCTGACACCCAGGGCCTGACCCTTCAGCCGTATCGCCTCAGTGCACGCACATCCTCACGCTGTCACTAACCTAGGAGCACAGAAATGGCCTTCCTAATGCCACCCAGATCAATGGACTAGGAGATGGTTGCCCTCAATTGGCAGAGAATTTGGGGACCCTGGCTGGGGAATAGGAAAGCAAGGCTCCAGCCCCTGCTTGGCCCCTGCCCAGTAGTGTGACCTTGAACAGGCCATGCCAGCTCTTGGCACCTCAGCTTCCCCTTCTGCGCAATGGGACTTGATGATTGAGGGGGACCTATGGTGGTAAGATGGGGAGGGCCGGGGACTGGCAGGGCCTTGGGAAAACCTTTGTTCCCTCTGTCTAAAGCTGGCTAGGCCAAGGAATCCATGCCAGCCTTTTGGGGTGAGCAGGCAACCGTCTCCTTATCAGTTTCTCTGCCTGAAAGAGGCTGTGCAGTGCCAGATCTCAGCAGCGGGCTGGGACCTCCCCTAGCAACGTGGCCAGGCCTGTGGCAATCTCTGCCCCCTGTACTCCTCACATCCTGTTGTTAAACTGGGGAAGAGTCTGGAGGAAGGGCCCCCATGGCGGTCTCCTCTGGGACACAAGAAGCTAGATCAGGACCCAACGCTACTCTGCTCAGCCAGGACCCCCGGGAGGAACTGGGAGCCACATGGGCAGGCACTACATGGAACTGTGCCAGGAGAGAGGCCCTGGGCAGACCCTGGACAGACACCCCTCAGGGACCGAGAAAGATGGGGCTGGGCAGCAGCTCTCATGGGAAGAAGGGCAGACTGTGCTGATTCACACTAGGCCCACGTGAGTCAGCAGGGATGGCACTGGGCTGCCTCAAGCCCCTGCCCTTGGGCATTAACAGGAGCAGGGCATCTATCTGGGGGTGGGCCAGGCCCCCACTGCTGCCAATGCAGCACCCCTGTGCACACCTCCCACTGGTCACTCTAAGACTTGCAGAAAGGGCTCTGTGAGTGCCAAGGTGTGGCTCCTGATCTTCCAGCCTAGTACCTGGGCAGAAAAGGACAGGAGACAGATTGAGGGGACACTGTTTGTCCCTCTCTATCCACCGGTTCCCCATGATCAGAACCCTCCATTCACCAAACTGCAAGTGCCGCTGGCCCAGCACTGTGGCTACAGAGATGGAAGGACCTGGGCTCTGCCCCAGGAGCACATGGGCTTGTGCAGAGAAGAGTGGAGGCAGGGAGGCCGGTGGAAGCTGTGCCTGTCACCCAGGAGAGAAATGGTGTGACCCACCTAACACTGGGCAGCGGGGCTAGAGGGGGCAGGCAGGTGGAAAAGGCATTTAAAGGGCCCTGAAGGATTTGTAAGGGGTGGAAGACAAAGAGGAGGCAGCCAAGGACGTGGAGAAAGAGGCCCCTGATTGTGTGGGAGGGGCGCTTGTGCAGATGGCAGAGCCTGTGGGCAGTGGGAAGGATGAAGGAGCCAAGTGCCTGTCAACAGAAACGGCCCTCACAGGGACTGTGACCCGAAGGAGCATAATACGTGGAGCCCAGGAGACAGGGAGGAACAACGGGTTGGAGGATGGGATTGAAGGGGACAAAAACAAATTTAATAAAAACTCAAGTGCACAAGTGTGAATGTGACGGTGTGTGTGTGAGGGTGTGCATGTGTGTGAGGGTTTGCGGGTACGAGGGTGTGTGTGTGGGGGTGTGTGTGAGGGTGTGCGTGTGTGTGAGGGTTTGCGGGTACGAGGGTGTGTGTGTGGGTGTGTGTGTGAGGGTGTGCGTGTGTGTGAGGGTTTGCGGGTACGAGGGTGTGTGTGTGGGGGTGTGTGTGAGGGTGTGCGTGTGTGTGAGGGTTTGCGGGTACGAGGGGTGTGGTGGGGGTGTGTGTGAGGGTGTGCGTGTGTGTGAGGGTTTGCGGGTACGAGGGTGTGTGTGTGGGGGTGTGTGTGAGGGTGTGCGTGTGTGTGAGGGTTTGCGGGTACGAGGGTGTGTGTGGGGGTGTGTGTGAGGGTGTGCGTGTGTGTGAGGGTTTGCGGGTACGAGGGTGTGTGTGTGGGGGTGTGTGTGAGGGTGTGCGTGTGTGTGAGGGTTTGCGGGTACGAGGGTGTGTGTGTGGGGGTGTGTGTGAGGGTGTGCGTGTGTGTGAGGGTTTGCGGGTACGAGGGTGTGTGTGTGGGGGTGTGTGTGAGGGTGTGCGTGTGTGTGAGGGTTTGCGGGTACGAGGGTGTGTGTGTGGGGGTGTGTGTGAGGGTGTGCGTGTGTGTGAGGGTTTGCGGGTACGAGGGTGTGTGTGTGGGGGTGTGTGTGAGGGTGTGCATGTGTGTGAGGGTTTGCGGGTACGAGGGTGTGTGTGTGAGGGTGTGTGTGTGGGGGTGTGTGTGAGGGTGTGCATGTGTGTGAGGGTTTGCGGGTACGAGGGTGTGTGTGTGAGGGTGTGTGTGAGGGTGTGCGTGTGTGTGAGGGTTTGCGGGTATGAGGGTGTGTGTGGGGGGGGTGTGTGTGAGGGTGTGCGTGTGTGTGAGGGTGTGCGTGTGTGTGAGGGTTTGCGGGTATGAGGGTGTGTGTGGGGGTGTGTGTGAGGGTGTGCATGTGCGTGAGGGTTTGCGGGTATGGGTGTGTGTGTGTGAGGGTGTGCATGTGCGTGAGGGTTTGCGGGTATGGGTGTGTGTGTGTGAGGGTGTGCATGTGAGGGTGTGTGTGGCAGTGTGCATGTGAGGGTGTGCGTGAGGGTGTGTGAGGGTGTGCGTGTGAGGGTGTGCATGTGTGTGAGGGTGTGCGTGTGTGAGGGTGTGCATGTGTGTGAGGGTGTGCGTGTGAGGGTGTGCATGTGTGTGAGGGTGTGCGCGTGTGAGGGTGTGCATGTGTGTGAGGGTGTGCGTGTGTGAGGGTGTGCATGTGTGTGAGGGTGTGCGTGAAGGTGTGTGTGACGGTGTGTGTGATGGTGTGCGTGGGTTTGCGTGTGTGTGGATGTGCGTGTATGTGAGGGTGTGCGTGTGTGGGTGTGCATGTGTTGTGTGAATGTGTGTGAGGGTGTGCATGTGTGAAGGTGTGTGTAGGAGGGTGTGCATGTGTGAGGGTGTGCGTGTGTGAGGGTGTGCACGTGAGGGTGTGTGGTGTGTGGTGTGTGTGACGGTGTGAACAATGATGACAGGAAGACAGTCTGCGAATGATCATCTAATTGTGTCCATTCACCTGAGTGAATAATAACTGGAAAAGCTGGACAGAGCCTGTTGATGGCTGCGGGAAGGCAGCCCATGGAACTGGATAGATTAGGAGCCCTGCGGAGTGGAAGGGAGGGCCAGGGTCTTCAGCAGGTGCTGGGGTGAGGGGCCGGGGGTAGAAGAAGGGTGAGCGTTGAGGGCTTGAGGGCCGTACCCATAGATGGCCTCCAGGTCATCACGTGACAGTCAGGCAGGAGGCGGCTCCCTGGCAAAGCTGCAGAGATTTTTTTTAAAAAAGGCAATGGGCCCTCCCCGTTTCCTCCCAGCGGCGGGCGGCTGCAGTTCCTGTTAGTGGGCTGTTTGGGTAACTGTCTTGGGGTTCCCCAGTCTGACTTCCTCGTGCTCTCTCCGCCTGCACGTTCC